TTGATGACGTCATACTGCAGCTGGGCGTAATCTGCGCACATATTTATGTGTGAAAAAAACGCATGTGCATTACAACTGACGGGGAAACGGTAGGAGGTAGCGGAATGCATTCTGTTATATTATTTAACTCAATGACGTGACCACTTTCTTTTGATGACTTCACACTGCAGCTGGACGGAATCTACATACATATTTATATGAGAAAAGACGCACGTGCATTACAAGCTACGGTGCGACGGTAGGAGATAGTGGTGTAAAAGCTAGTATTAATATATGTAAACCTATTTTATAGAGTGTCTAAAATTAAAATAAAATTATGATAATCTTTTACTACGGCAATTGTAAGTAGCTATGACGTGGTCTAGTGTTTTGAGTAGTCATGCTCACTAACTGTCCAGTCTTGTGGCGGCGTGGTGGACCAGGTCATTGAGCTCCCTAAAATATGGTTGAGCGCAGTGATGGCTGGCTCATCCGTCATACTCGTGAACGGGTGCTGCTTGTAGGTACTGGTCTGCTCTAATCACATGACTGATTTCCTCTTCCTTTTTGCCAGTTGGTTGTATATTCAATATTTTTTCTATTTCAGTATTTAATTGAATTAGTGCTAATTGGTAGTTTATATACACACAGTTAAATTTAAAAATTTAAAGTAAGAATAAAATTATTTAAAAGAGCAACACGCAAGTTTCTTGCTCGTTCTTCTCGTCGTGATGAGACAGCTTTCCGAATGAGCGGTAGTTTAAATTCAAAAGTGCTTAAAAATGATTTTATTTGAATTTCTATTCTATTCTATTCTACATAGAAAATTGTTATCGCCAATCCAAATCGCCGAGAGGAAGGGATTATTAATAAAAGGGAATATTAACCCCATTACTAACATTTTACCATGTTGACCTTCACGCGGTTCCTTCTGGAAACCATTGTGTTAAATTACTGGTGAATTTACCACGATGCTAACTGCTCGGACTTATCATCCTTCACTGATGCTCCGTCAGCAGTAGCAGCCGGAGCAGTAAACCGTTAGTGCAGGCGGTTTCACCATTCCATTATCATATATAATACAATGACCACTTATCTTAAAGTATCAACTTGTTTATCATTCCAATTACATAAAAAAATGCTATATTATACCATCACACTACCCACTAGAAACTAAAATAGCATCCTGATCATCTCAATGAATGGCGGTCGCTACCGTGCGGTTTTCTAGAAACATTTGGCCACGAACAACCACATTGTGGAATCACCTTCCAGTAGTGCTATTTGCGAACTGATACGATATTGAAACCTTCAATAAAAGAGATTGTTAATTCTTAAATGTCCGGCTATAGGTACTAACTGATGCAAATACTACACGCGGTTCCCCCTGGAAACCATCGTGTTAAATTACTGGTGAATTTGCTATGATGGGCAAACTGACCTGAACTCATACCCATCCTATCATCCTGCACTTGTGTCCCGCCAGCTTATACAAGTCGCGCAGGCTTGTGCACCATTCCATTATCATCCAAAAATCGCCGAAGCAAAAAGAAATAAACCTTTTAATAAAATATGGGCGTAATTGATGCTACACGATGTAGAGTTTAGGATGGTTTGAATAAATAACAAAATGTTGCTACTTTATTTAAATGTAGCATGTATAATTTTGTGATGATAATTAGTAGACTCTTGTTAAGGTCTTCTTAATAAAAACAATTAAATTGATAGGCTTGTGTATTCCTTTTCACATCATAGTCCCGTGACAAGATAACGAAAGTGTTGCCGTATTACAAAATTAAAATTATTCAAATAAAATGATGGGGTTTCCAACAAGTAAACATAAAAATATAAATGTAGTAAAGTTTTCTACATCTACAACGTAGTGGTAGATCTTTCTTTAACCATATACATAGATCATGTTTTACGTATTTTTACTAGCATTACCTATTAAAATGCCTACATTACTCAATACTACATTACTCCTTTGACGACCTGGCTCGTCTAACAGTTGAGATCACCGCTTTACTTCCAATGGTTGAGGATTTGATTTCTCACACGATGCAAACATTTGTATTCAAAAGTATGATTGTTTGCAACTGTCTAGGTGTTTTTATGTATGTTTTAAAAGAAGCGTATTTAAATATCAGTACTAGAGTACTGTAGGTGCTAGAGCACCAATAAAACAAGCTCTACTTAACTTGAAACTAGAGTGCGCTGTGTAAATTGTCCAGTATTATTATTTTTATTTAAAAACAATCAAGACAAATATATAATTCCAGGACTAAGCAGAAAACAGACAGAAAACAGCGACTTATATAGTTTTATTCTAAACTATTACATTTTAGACGGCCTAGCGGTTTAGCACTTTGCTTTACTTCCTTAGGTCGCGGGTTCGATTCCTCGCACGGCACAAACATTTGTATTCATGGGTATGATTATTTGTACCGGTCTGGTTGTTTTTAATGTATATTATGTATGCATTTACAAAAAAAGGATCTATGTATTTGTATCAGTTGTTTAGTACCCATAACACAAGCTCTGCTTAGCTTGGGAGTAGATAGCGCTGTATGATTTATCCTGAAATATTATTAAATTATATTCTATTCATATTTAAAAATCTTGACTTCAAATTTTATCTTTATCATATCTACTAAAGTGTTCCAATGAACTCGTAGTAATTTTTAGTATCTACAACCTAAAAGGTCGAAGAATATTCTACTTGAAATGTGAATTTAAAATTAAATAATATCATATCTTTCAATTTAGAATATTCATATCTTTGAACATTTTTAATACTATAAAAAATGCTGTCCTGTGCCATCTACTACAATTTTTTTTATTTTAAATTAAAAAAAGAACGTAGACAGTTTAAGAAATTACGAAGACCTTCTGAAATTTGCAAAAAACTCAAATCAACAATCTGATGAGATAAGATTTTTTTATTTTTTTCGTATCTCTATACCATAGATAAATACTGGTATATATATTTAACGCATTATAAAAAGGAGCAGGTCAATTTTAACTGTTCTTTGAAACTATTAATAGATAATTTCAATAATTAAAACTATTACATTTTGATTTCTTACGTATTTGCTACGTGACTAAAAAAAGTTTAGTTTTTTATATAATCTTCATTGCACAGATAATACATTTTTTTAATAGATGATAATGGAATCGCTTTCGGTTTACGCTGGCGGGGCACCAGTGAAGGATAAGATGAGCATGAGGTTAGGTCAGTTAGCAGATCATGGTAAATTCGCCATGAATTTATCACGATGGTGTCCAGAGGTGACGTGGAGGTCGCCCTAACAGTACATTGTTAGTAATGTGTACTAGTATGTTACTAACGATCCCCTTCCCTCCACAGAAATTATACATTAATAATATAACTTAGAGACAATGTGAGCAAAGGTGGACTTATCTCTAGAAGAGATCTCATCCAGCAACCCAAAACAGTGGCATAGGTGGTTTTGAGTGGGTAATAATTATTGCAAAAAAACTTATTATATTTACCTACACGTTTTTACACCACTTTTAGTGTTTCTATTTAGAACTATTAAGCATCGATTGTAGCATACGTACTGGCCATATAGTTTTATAATTGTAATTTCTAATAAGAATTTTAATACATATTATTGTATACGATTTAGTGTCTAATTAATAATTCTGATAGACAACAACAGGGATTATTGAGTCATATCCGACAATTAGCATTTTATAATATTATCATAATCTTGGTCGTAAACCATCATTAAGGTTGTAAATGAAAATCACCATAAATGATGTTTAATGAAGTACCTAACGTTACGTGTAGGTAATTTATTAAATTCCGACGAGATATTTTAATACCCAATCTACTGTACTCTTCAGCTTTAATATTATTACATACAAAGAAAAGAGACAGCTGTTGATTCTCAGTTCTATTGAAATTTTAACTCATACCCCTAATTTGGGGTCGCGAAATCGCTTCCCGCGCTTGCGCGAATCAATAGAGTACCCTGTACCACGACATCATTGTGTACGCCAGAAGTGAAAATATTACAATACACACATCTTCATAATATTTTCTATTATTTTCTAACTTACTTTTATATAAATATATTTCCTAATGAAATATTATAAGGTGGAATAATTTTATACTTTGTTTGTAATGAATACAATAAAAAAGTATTTAAACGATTTTTAAAGTTCATCCACCAATAAGAAGCCAATAATACAGATTATATCATATATAAAAAAGAAATCTCTACATAAAAGTAAGTAGTAAGTAAGTAAAATCGAGTTATGTAGATCGCTAATTTAATTGGTAATGTTATAATCGTATTATTATAAAGAACAAAAATTTTATTATTTATACGTTTGTAATAAATAAACTATAATATTACTTTACCGTACATTATTTTTAAAATTCTTTCATCTATAGAAACTAATTGGTGATTGGTGAGTAATATTACACGCAAGCAAAGCTTTTTCTTATGAATTTTATTTGTTTCTGTGTTGTTTTTAATTTCTCATTGGCTGATAATATTAACTACCTCAGCCGCGATTTGATACGGCACAAGTTTAAATTGTTTAATATGTCCCTCTGGAGGGGATGCTATATTACGACTATATAAATACATATATATTATATTTTATACTAGCTACTCGCCCCGGCTTCGCACAGGTGTACATGTATTATACATATGAACCTTCCTCTTGAATCACTCTATCTAGTAAAAAAACCGCTACTAAATCCGTTGCGTAGTTTTAAAGATTTAAGCATACATAGGGACGGACAGACAGCGACAGCGACTTTATTTTATACTATATAATGATGATACATTAGTTAATACCTAAATATATGAATCTTTTTTTATAATGTGATTTTGCATATTTTTATAGCTGTGGCACATATAGATATACGCAGTGTATAAAAAGCAGCAATGTATACTGTGGTATACAATTTCTTGTTTCTATACAAAGGGTTTGATAAATTCGTGGTAGGTTGGCACGCCTGCGCCCTGCATCCCTGGACCAAACGTAGCAAGTGTAACTCGAAACTCGATGTAAAGTGCAACCATTTTGTTATAAAAATCGTAAATAATATATTGAAGTAAGTTGCCGGTTATAATTCCACTACATTGTTGTTATTTTGGTATTTTATATTGTACTTCACGTATTTATTGTTGTTCTGTGTGTTTGTTTCATTGTGTGGATGTTGTAAAAAGTGTTGTGTAGGTAGGTTTTTATTTATCTACTAGCTGACCCAGCAAACACTGTTTTGGTATATATAATAATATCGCTATAAAAAAATAGGGGTTGATGTATGTATGTAGAAGAGTAAAAATTTTAATTGTATTTTGCAACGCAGAATCGTAATAAAATAAAATAAATTTTCTACAAAAAATATGAAAGAAAATATTTAAGTGTGTAGGTTGGACTCCATGGACAAATTGGCCTCTCATTCACAGCCAGGCTACTAACGTAGCCAGCCTATATTTAAGGGTGAACAAACCTCATCACAAGGGGGTACAAAAAATAGATGTTGGCTGATTGTCATACCTACCTGGTATCCACATTAAAATTAATAATAATCGGTAAAGCCGTTTTGGAGTTTGGTAACAAACACCGCGACTCGAGAATTGTATATATTAGATTTCATGTAATCATTTTGAGTTAAAAAAATTATGTTATTTACTTATTACCTATCGGAGCATTGTCGTCTCTATCAATTGTCATATTATTCGGCGTTCAGATATATTTGAGATGAAAACATAATGGGCTATTTTCCCAGTCATATAAAAAAAATTGCAATTTCGTTTATCGTTACATAGTGTAAAACAAAGTCGCTGTTGCTGTCTGTTCGTCCCTATGCATGCTTAAATAAATGCTACGCAACTGATTTTGAAACGGTTTTTTAATACATAGAGTGATTCAGGAGAAAGGTTTGTATGTATAATACATGTACACCCGGGCGAAGCCGGGGCGAGTAGCTAGTACTAGATAAGTGATACAAATACATTTTTTTTTCGTAAATACATATATTTTATGTAATACATAGGAAACCAGACCGATTCAAACAATCATATCTATTCATGAATACAAATATTTGTGCCGTGCGAGGAATTGAACCCGCAACCATCGGAATTAAGGCAGTGTGCTAAACCGCTAGACCATAGAGGAGTTATTTTACAAATATTATAGTACATGAACATGAAAATATCCTTCGTAATTAATCACTTTATAATCCCTACATCCGCTTTAAGTTTATTTATTAGGATTTTCTAATTTATAAGTCATACCTATAGACGCGTGATAGTAGTTAACGGTGTTTGCTTCATGAGAGAGTACATAGGTATAAATATAAATAGATAGCATAAAAAATGGATATCGGCCAGAATATTAATAGTAGTAGAAGTTGTGATGTTATTGATTGGAAGATGTGATGGTATTAAGTAAGGAAGGTATCAGTAGTGGAAAATAGTATAAACACCGATACGATGATGATAATAATAATAATATCTCTGAACAATTCACACAACGTTTATGCCACAATTGTGGCAATCAAGCAATCTAGTCGTAATCTAAACAGAGCTTGTGTTATGGATACTAAACAATTGATATAATACTTATTTTTTTTTGTAAAGACAAACAATCATACTCATGAATACATTTTTTTTAATAGAATAGAATAGAAATAATCTTTATTCAAATAAACTCATTATAAGCACTTTTGGTAATGTAATGACATAATTTTATATTAAATTGAATATGACTTAATTTGAATATTTGCATACCTCTAAGGGGTGCTGCATGTCATGTACTTTTATTAGTTAATAAGATCCGAAACTACCATGTAGCAAGCAAATAAATTAAATTATTATTATTATTATTATTATTGAATAGTCATATTTTGATTCTACCACTGGGGAATATATACATAATGTATAATAATAGTATATACATAATCTGCATGGAAAACATACTCTAATAATACTCATAATAACTCTAATAAATAAATAAATTTATATTTTAGCAGGATGACGTGCGGGTCAGAATGCCTGTCATTGGGCCCCCCGCCGGATTCGATCCTGCACATGCCACCGCCGCCCTTGCCAGCATTCTTGGCTAACGCAGCCAACTTGACACCGCCCTGCCGCGCCTCCAAGTGTCCCCCTCTACAGAACAACGAGGACAACTCACTATTCCCAGGAGTTGAATACCACGAGTTACCGAGGCATGGTAAGCTAGCCAGGCAGGAAATAATAACGTCAGTCTTTTTTTTTTAACTATTTTTATGTTGGCCAAAGGAGCTAAATCGGAATGGAGGCGTCCTTTCCGATTTATCTACTTTGCTACCAATGTTGTTAAAAAATAAATAGTTGATTACTTATAGTAGAAAATCGGCTTTTTACCACGATGGTCTAACTGATCTGACCTCATGTTCATCTTATCAACCACTGGTGCCCCGCCAGCGCAAACCGTTAGCGCAAGCAGGTGTACCATTCCATTTTCATTCATAAGAGTAGAAACGGCAAATCCACAAGCGCTGCATGCAGCGCTTTAATGCTAAAAAAAAGCGTGTATTTGGCATTGCGTGTAACAGCATATAACGCATCATCACTTAACATCAAGTGACATTGCGTTAAAACTCGCATAAATTTATATAAAAAAAAACACTTGGCGTTTATTGATTTTTAATCGAAAATTAAATTTCAAATTTAGAATTATGACAATACTTGCAGAGCCTGCCGGCGGTGATGACACTTGGTTCCTGGTGGTGATCACATGTTGCATCGCAGTACTGTGTATAGCCGCACTGCTTGCACTTTTCTTGCTAAAATGCAGAGAGTAAGTAACTCAATAATTTAAGTAGGTACTCACTATTATTGTACATACCAAATCGAGGTGCTCATTTTCTTTTAATGATATTTAAAATGTCTCGTATATCGTTTGTTTTTTATGTAATGTTTCCAAAATGTTTAATGTACAATAATAATAATAATAACCCTCAACAATTCACCGCCATTCGTCCCAAGATATGCAGAGCTTGTGTTATTGGTACTCATCATAATTGCATTGCCACTATTTCATTATTTGGGGTTGGCGCAATATATATATGTATTTTTTTAAATACATATATCATTCACATATGACATATACCCACACCAATACAAACACTAATGGTCATGAATACAAGTGTTTACATCGTGCGAGGAATCGAACCTGCGACAATCGGAAGTTAGATAAACTGCTGGACCGTCGATAGTAGTATTGCCATTATAAATAATACATTCAGTAATTTGTACAAGTTTAGAATTTCATTGTTAATAATCTAAAATTATACCTAAAAAGGTATTTCCTTCATAATAGGGCTAGAGGAGGCTGCAAAGGTAGCTCGGGGAAAGCCAGCGGCTCCAACGCTCTCTATGGGGGTGCTGCTCTCGACTCCAGGGTTTTATGGGCTGCTCTGACTCCACGAGGTACCCGTCACTTCATCGCAGACACGTACCCTCACGACGAAACCGAAGATCACCACTACGAATGCGTAGAACCACCTCTATACAAGCTGGGCCCGCCAGACGACTTGGCTATAACCCGTCACTTCAACGTGGAATACGAAGACCCTGCTCCCTTGATAGAAAACTACAATGATCGCACCGAGGAGTACTTCAGAAACGGAATGGAAACCCTGCGGAGAGGACGACCACTGGTTTCTTCGCCAACAAGGATTGAACGGCCAAATCTGCCGCCTCTAAACCTCCAGCCGCGTACGCTCCGGAGGGCGCCACACTCGCGGCGAGTGAGCGATGCCAACAATCCAGAGAAGTCGGCCATCTGAACCGAGAGTGGCGCGGTCTTTTCCGTCGCCGACTCAACCGATATCGATTACGATTGGACCTCTCTCGACAATTCGAACGTCGATCGTCTCGTTTGATCGAGGACTGTCTCTTCGTACCTATTTTAAACGTGTCCACAGAACGCCTGTCTTGACATTTTAGCTCAAATAGTATTGTAGATCGAACATATCTGTGTCAAGTTACGTCGAAACCATAATAAAAAAAAAAAAAAATTAAGTAAAATTTTTACAACTGGGAATATTAAAGTCAGAATCACACATTAGGATACAAAGCGCATTACGACAACTTGACAATGTACTTCCCAGTCTATCATTACTTTATTATATGTTGCTAATATTGAGTTACAATATGACATTATGTGGTTGAGTACTATATCCGGCTCAAAGGACCATTATATACATATACATGTACTTATAAGTGAATAGTGAAAAAGCTTCAATGAAGCTTTACAATGCATTAGCGTTGACGTACCTGCGTATTATTTAAGTCTAAAAAATACCACTATAAAAAATAATACTAATTTATTCAATTATTCATGTAAATATTTGTATTTCAATGACTTATTTTCAATTTTAGTTAGCAATAGTTATACTTATATATTTTAAGTACGACACCGCAGATAAATATTGTAGACTCATCTTAGACTCAGATAGGGTGTTGTTATCACAAAGAATAATACCGCAAAACCACTTTAAAAGCCAAATAATAGTTTTGTAAATACACTTTAGGCACTTAGTTTGTTTTAGTTTAGTCGCGTTGTGCAATTTATGCTAGTATATAATACGCAGTCTATATTAAAATCGTACAACTATAGAAATCAAAGTAAAATTCTAGTCAACTGGATACTACTGTATCTATGTAATAAATCCACTAGTCGTATGTTCTAATAGAGGCTGTAACGAATTCGATGTCTATATTATATTCAGGTAATTACTAATGTTTTAAATTCTTCATTCTACTATAGGTAACCTTAATGAGATCAATGTTTTGAAAAAACCATTTTGTACCCATGAATGAATAAATCGATAACTAATATATTAATACTTTTTTTTGGCCATTTCAAACACAGATAAAATATGTTACAAGATATATTTGTTTAATCAAATATTTTTCTAAAACAAATTACCTACTTCAATCTGAGTACAAAGCTAATTCAATCGTTAAGGTCGACATAGTGAGATCGACAAAATGAATTTAATGACGTATTATATTAAAATAATTATTATATCAATTCCAATATTTGCATATCCCTACGGGGTGCTGCATGTCATGTACTTTTACTACACGTAAATATATATTGTAGGATCAAAATTACCATGTAGCAAGTAAATAAACAAATAATAATTATTATTATTATAAAAATCTACTCAAATTTTATTACAGAAACTGCTTTGAAATAAATAAAAGTAACTTAAGTATCAAATAGCTTGCTGTTACTTGATAGGGGCTGTTCAAGTATTACGTAAGCAGATTTATCACAATTATTTACCCCTCATCCCCCCTTGTCAGCAAAAGTAAGCAAAGCTCTTACCCCTCCCCCCATGCTTACGTAAACATTTCTCAATTCATGTATTGTTTTTTTAACAAAGACCATGTGAGGGTTGCCATTCGTGTAAAAAAGTAAATTACGACCGATGATGTAATCATCATACAGACTCCCCCACCCCCAAATCATCCAAAATAAGCAAAGAAAAGACCCCCCGCCCCCTATAGTGCGCGTAATCTGAACGGCCCCTACTTTTCATTTTATAAAACTAACGCTCTTGCTAATTTTAGAAAACTAATTAGGCACATTAGCACTTTTCGTCGTAACGCATTTCGCTACATGATAGAGACAGCAGTTGGAAACAGTGTGTGCATATACCACAGTCACAGGGACTCAAAGAACTTGAATCCAAGGCCACAACATATAATAAAAATACACAGACATAGCAGTGACAGTGACAATGGAACTTCAAAAATCGCAGAGTACATTTGTAAAGTTTTTTCTGTGGTCTAATTCATCTATGCCGCATCTGACAAAAACCTCAAAGCGTATTTTTTGTTTGTGTTGTTATTTCAAAATTGAATTATAATATCTTATTAGTAATAACAATGAAATTGGTTGAATCAGTACATGTTTGATAACTGACTATACCTAGTACAATTACTTATAAAGTTTAGTGAATATTTATTACAATGGCTGACGAGGTTATCAAACATTCCGTACACACTTTGGTGTTCAGGTCTTTGAAGAGATCCCACGACATGTTCCTCGCTAACCAGAGTCTACTACCGCCTATAGATGAAAAAGCGTATGTTATTATTCTATTTTGTGCATTGAATTTGTTATATTATAGCAAATATTATTACCTATATAATATAATATAAATAGAAGGGTATTTCATACTCTTGTAATAATACTATAATTTATAACTAATATTATTTTGAATCTGTATTTTAAGTACTATATTCTTGTTTCAAACTTACAAATATAGAAACTATTATAGGTAAAATTGTGTTAGAAATCTGTTGATAAACAAATTTGCTAAATGACAGTTTTTATATATTCAAATTCACTCAAAATAATTGCAACTACAAAAATTTTGCTGCATTTAAGAACAAACAAAAGTACAACATATCCAATATATATGTAACTAAAGTCATCATCATCTGCTTCTTCCTTGTCCCATTTATCTGGGGTTGGATCTTCCTTTCATCCCAGTTGGCAGTTATCTCATTATTTATCCCCTTTCTTATCATATCATCTTTCTCACAGTCCCTTCATCTCTTTCTCAGCCTTCCTCTGCCCTTATCCATATGTAACACCTTCCTTAATCTGTAAATGTAACATATAAAAATAATGTTTTAGTGTGTTTTCCATAGAAGACCATTTTTTCATTGCATATTAAACTAAATAATATATCCATATAAGCAAGGCAGAATCTTAAACATCACATGTACTTATTATATTTTGTGTAATAATAAAATTAAGCTATAAAAATCTTAATCATCAAATATACATATTATATTTTGTGTAATGAAAGCTTTATAAATAATTCAATACATACTTTCCAGTGAAAAAGTATTAAGATCTATTAAAGCGAGAGACAGCTATGGTCAAGTGATGGCAGCAGTTCAGAAGGCACAGGTAGTCAAACAACAGGAAGCTTTGATTCGTCCCGAGACTCCTAGTGGCAATACTGGTGAGATATTAGTGTACATGTAATAATTATAAACCTTCCTCTAGAATCACTCTATCTATTAAAAAACTGCTTCAAAGTCCATTGCATAGTTTTAAAGATTTAAGTATACATAGGGATGGACAGACAGCTACTTTGTTTTATACTATGTAATGATGTATATTGAAGGTAAAAGTAAAATAAATAGTTTGCCTTTCGATCTCAATATAATAATAATAATACCTAGAACAATTCACACAATAACACTCAGTGCCAAGTTTAGCAGAGCTTGTGTTGTGGGTACTGGATACCTGATATAAATACTTAATTCTTTGTAAATACATACATATTATACATAGAAAACACCAGCAAGACTGATACAAACAATCATACTTGTGAATACAAATGTTTGTGCCATGCGAGGAATCAAACATTGTAAGTAAGATGATCTGCTAAACCGCTAGACCACAGAGACAGTCATGTTAAGTTTAATTGAATAAATATTACTTCTATTTCTTTCCCTAAAAAGCTTTATCAGATGTATATTTCTGTTTCAGAAATGGCGGAATCAGCAGCACTGGGCTCCGATGGTGCCATGTTACCATACACTGGTCCTATACCATCGCCAGCACCAGCACCTCCTGCTGGCGCCCTCACAACACTGCCACGGAAAGCTCCAGCTATGCCAAAACCGAAGTGGCATGCACCATGGAAACTATTCAGAGTGATATCAGGACATCTAGGATGGGTGCGGTGTGTCGCTGTTGAGCCTGGAAATGAATGGTTTGCCACTGGTAAGATAATCTAAATATTTACCCTGTATCCTACCTCATTGAATAGACTGAATGGAAAGATTTGCAATTTAATTTATGTTACTGTGCTAAAAAGCACTATAGAAGGATATACAGGGCCACATATTATATATACACATATAGTAAATAACATATGATAAATTTATAATAAGTATACAAGTCTTTTAAATCTACCAATAAATATGTTTATGATTAACCAATCATTAACAAATATAGTATATAACCTTTTAACAATTGTATTGTGTACATTAAATAAATTAAAAATGTGATTAATTGATTTTTCAAACATATTGTTTATTCTTCAGGTGCCGCAGACAGAGTTATTAAAATATGGGACTTGGCGAGTGGCAAGTTGAAAGTGTCGCTTACTGGACATGTTAGTACTGTTAGAGGTAAGTTATGACAACTATTATAATTTTTTTTTCAAGCTATTCTGATGCTGTCGGCTTAGCTGGCCTTCCAAACCCCTTCTAAACCCACAGATAGGCTACATTTTTAAGCCATTGAGATAACTAAAAATATTAATCAGTAATATTTATTTTTTATAAAACTAAGAGATTAACTAACTAACTACATTCAAAGAGGCAATGCTGCCAGTATCTTGCGTACGCTGTCTCGATGTGCCGCGTTGGATTACAATAGTTGTTTTTGAGATTGTTTATGTATTAATAATGTAAAAAAACAAATATATTTTAAGATTTGAGAATCTCAGTGTAAATTTAAAACCCTACTTTCACATTTGTATTAATATATATGTGTAATATTTTGACAAAATTTCAGGTTTACAAGTATCTTCAAGACATCCATACCTGTTTAGTTGTGGTGAAGATAGACAAGTGAAATGTTGGGACTTGGAATACAATAAGGTTGGTCACCTTATAATAAATATATATATATGTAATTATAATATATATAGGTCTAATTGGTACATTAAGGAGATTTGGTTGATATTACTATTTTCTTTTGTTCTGTATTTGATGAAATAATATTTTATTTTATATAAACAATTCTTAGAATTGTATATAAATAAATTAGCTAAAAAATTAAATTCTGATGACTTTCTTACCAGTTTTTCTCTATTGACTGAAATAGATTATAGGGGGAAAATTTTATACCAAAAAATTTTACTTTCATATGTCTAAAATGTCCTATATGCTTGTCCTATTGTTTTTTTTATTTGATTTAAAAATATTAGAGTATGTCTACCACTTTTTCGATATATTGTGTTGTACTAAGTTCAAACAAAAATTCTTATTATATCTCCATCTAATTCCAAGCTAAATAGAGCATATGGTATGGGTACAAAAACTGATAATAATACATAGATATAATTTTTTTGTAACTACATACGTACTCAAAAACAACCAAACCGCTACAAATAATCATACTGTTTGACTCGTGAACCCGCGGTCATTCGGAAAAAAGGCGGTAAGCTAGATCGCTTGACCTCCGAGGCCGTCGAAATATCTCTTAAATAGTTGAATGTATTGTACAGGTGATCCGGCACTACCACGGACACCTATCGGCGGTGTACGCGCTGGGCCTGCACCCCACGCTCGACGTGGTGGTGTCTGCGGGACGGGACGCCACCGCGCGCGTGTGGGACATGCGGACCAAGGCCAACGTGCACACGCTCGCGGGACACACCGACACCGTCGCCTCGCTCGCCTGCCAGTCCGCCGAGCCGCAGGTACACACTACACACTACACACTACGAGTAGTCCCTCTTCAAAGATGTTGTTGTATGTATTTCAGCTTCTCTTCTGCCATCAAGCACCTTTCACATCACGGCCCAAAACCCTACAACCCAAACTACACAAAGTAGGCTGATATAGATGAGACAGAGATACCACGTATACGAATCTTTATAGTCTATCTCTGCTTATTAAACTCTGCATGAAGGTACCAAAAATATGTTTCTCTCTATTGTTTAGTACCCATAACACAAACTCCAAGCATAAGCTTGGAACTGAGACTGTATAGCTTGTCTATTATTATTACAAAGTTAACATTTATTATTTCCAGATTATAACCGGCTCGCACGACTCCACAATCCGCCTATGGGACTTGGCCGCAGGCAAATCATTGTGCACACTAACAAACCACAAGAAATCAGTCCGGTCCATCGTCATACACCCTACATTGTATTCCTTCGCGTCCGCCTCTCCAGATAACATAAAACAGTGGAAATGCCCTGAGGGGAAGTTCATACAGAACTTGTCTGGACATAATGCTATAGTGAACTGTATGGCGGTGAATCCGGAGGGCGTGCTTGTCAGCGGCGGTGACAACGGCACTATGTACTGCTGGGACTGGCGGACAGGATATAACTTCCAGAGATTACAAGTATATATATTATAAGTTTACAGTCCATGCATTACTGTAGCTATTTAGTACACATAGTATGCTTCCCAACGTAGTGTAAAATGCTTCTTCCCCATCCCATTTATTTGGTGTCGGCGTGATATGTTTTTTCTCTCGTGTTACTTACTATATGATAACATATATATATAGGCGCATATTACCACAATTGTAATGGCAAACAAGGCAAGCTTATTGGCATTATCAAATAAAAAAAATAGTTTCAATATTGTAGTCAATATAAACCATCCTAGTATAATTGATTTAAATGTAATATTATTTCTCAACAACATCTATTTTACATGTCAACTAACATTAGCCTTGCAGTTACTAAAATTTTATTTGCAGTTCCATACATAAAATACTAGCTTTTATCTACTTGTATCCTCATCCGAAATGGCATATGGCTGTCAAAGTGATTGCTTAAAAGCCGATCAACAAACAGACCTTGCCATTTATGATATTACAATCCTTGAATAAAAATATTTAAATTTAAATTAATAAAAGCACCTTTTACTTAAGTTGTTTTATAATGTGATCGATTTTATTATTTTTGCTTCTGGTAATTATTTTAGTCTATATTCTCATTTTTAATTTTAGTCTGCAGTGCAGCCCGGGTCTATGGATTCGGAGGCTGGTATATTCGCCATGACCTTCGATCAGTCCGGCTCTCGTCTGATCACAACAGAGGCTGACAAAACAATAAAGATATACAGAGAAGACGATACCGCGTCAGAGGAAACCCATCCGATTAACTGGCGACCAGAGATATTGAAGAGGAGGAAGTTTTAATAATAAATTTTGATATTGCTGAGTTGATATTTTCTTTTAACCATATATACGCCTAAAATTTCGCATTTCATATTAGAAATACGATAGTTGAAATTTTGCTATGGTTCTGGCTGTTAGTCAGATTCATGGCATTAATAACCACATGAAGCAACATGTCTAAAGCGTACAAGAAATGCTATTACGTAAACTGCACCCAAGCAAAGCTTTTAATTTTTACACTATTCTAATCGTCGAAATCAGAATACTATATAGACTACTCGACTATTTCTATAATTTATGTAATAACTAATTATTCATTATGCATGTTACTGATAAACTTTTAATATCAGACTAATGGTCTACAATAAGTATATTTTTAGAGAAGTTACGAGATTTTTATTAAATTATTAAGATATTTATGTAAGTGTAATAACCTCATAATTTCAGAATTGATGTCCCATAGAGGACATTAAGCAAATAATCACTGTTCATAAACAATCCGATTTCACATATATTGAAAATCACTTGACTGACGTTTATACATTCAAAACAAAAAGGAAATGTCAGGTTTATTGAACTTTTTTGTTTTCCAATTGTGATTTGAGTGATTCAATTTTTGCTTTGCATAGTCGGTGTATATTTTCAATTTAATTATGGAAGGAATTCAAGTTATTACACAAGATTATATAAATGTGCATATTACGAAGTCAGACACCGAAGATGCAGCGCCTGTGGAGAGAAGATTCAAAAAAGGAATCACTGTATTGGAATTTAAGGTTAAAATGATTCATACATTTACCACCTCTGCAAAACAACAACTTTATAATAAAAATTATTAAAATAAAACAATTTATTTAAAGTAATTCTTTTGCAAATGTATTTTAATGTGAATATTTATATTAATATTTTTAAAAATATATGCTACTTGCAGTAATTGATATTACATATATTTTAATTTCAAAATAAATTTGTTTTTACGCAATAATTAAAACCCTGGACAACTCACACGGCCCAAGCTAAGCAGAATTTGTATTCTGGGAATTTAAGAACTGATAGAAATACTTATATATATATTTTTGTGAATGCATACATAATTTACATAGTATACACTCATAACTCACATAACTGTATTGGTGTACAAACGATCATACTCATTAATACAAATATGCATCATGAGAGGAAATGAATCTGTTACATGCAATGCAATTTATAAAAGCAATGTGACTATTGATATTGTATTTGAACATTCAATATTGAATGATTAACAGCCACAGCACATGGATTTCTCACATGAGTTTGATTGTTCGTATTGGTCTGGGTTTTTTCCATATATATTATGTATTTACAAAAATCTAAGTATTTGCATCAGTTGTCTAGTACCCATAACACAATCTCTACTTACCGTGGGACTTTATGGCACTGTGTTAATGTAATATTCCTGTCAACACTGGGCTCATTCACATTAGTTTACCTCTCCAGATAACATAGATTTAAGTTAAGTATAAAGTCAGTCTATGTCCTGATTCTACATTGAATGTATGTGTAACTAATAAGCCATGTAGCTCACTACCGAACAAACTTAATAATGTACAATAAATAGTACATTTATTTCACCACTCACTACCTACATACAAATAAACAAATATATTATGTAGTGACACCTCATAACATCATATACAACGCTACAGTGGTGAGGTGATAACCACTGCTCTACATATTCAAATTCAAATTATCTTTATTCATGTAGGTCTATTACAGACTCTTATGATATGTCAAATCTACCGTCAGTTCAGTATGATTGATATTTGAGACGAGAAGAGCTGACAAGAAACTCAGCTCGTACTCTTTTATACACTACACAGAAATGTATTTAAAAGTAATTATGTAATTAGTACTGAAAGTTTTTCAAACTGTTTTACAGACAAAACTGGAGTTAGTAACGGGAGGGTCAGCATCCACAATGAAATTAAAGTTGTATGACAATAAGAACAATTTGATATGTGATATTGACAACAATGATGCACTCCTCGGATCATACCCCATAGATGATGGCATGAGAATACATGTGATTGATAAGTTTACACTCATTAAAGATTTTGATTCAAGTGATAGTGCAGAAAGGTCAGTATACACTTACTATTAACAAAAACATCAACTTAATAAAAAACTGTATGTCTACTAAGAAAAGGCATATAAGTAAGGCATAGGCAGGCAGTCTGTAATACAAATTAATGACTTACATACTTACCCTTAATAAAAAAAAATTGTATTCATTAAAAATTATGTATAATAATAATAACCCTGGACAATTCACACATCATCTAATCTCAAGTTAAGCTGGGCTTGTGTTATGGGCGGGCCTGGCTGTTATTGTGTTATGCTGATAGATAATTGCATAAATATATACATAATATACATAGAAAACACTCAAACTGCTACAAACACTCATACTCATGAATACAAATGTTTGTACCATGCAAGGAATCAAACCCATGACCATCGGAAATAAGGCAGTGAGACAAATCCCTGAGACTGACACTTTAAACATTTAAAAAATATATGTAACAATTGCATTCATCAATCTGGATAATCATGAATTGTATATCTAAAGCCTGGACAATGGAGTTTCTAATGTATAATCATAATAATCAATATTATAAATTTTAAAAATGAAATCATCAACATTAGATCAGTATTCCAGATGATATTAATTGATTTTATTTAAGTTTTATATATAAAAATTTGGAAAAATAATGAGACTGTACTATATATAGGTTTCGTCTATCTGAGGAAGAATATGAGAAGAAAGGTGACACACTTAGGTCTTTCTTACAACGTAACAAACTTGGAAAATACAATGAAGAAGAGATGAGCAAACTCAAAGAACAACAGCAGAAAGAGTTGGAGGAAGAAGCTAAGTATGTACCAAATGTTTCAATCTTAAATTTCAAAATGTATTATAATATATTCTAAAATACACACTGCTAATCTTTGTATATAAAAATTACGTTGTTGGACGATCGATGGACTCCTAACTATTGAACCTATTGCAAATTTGATTTGCACGTTGTGTGCAATTTGATCCAACTTGAAAGGTAGAATAGCTTACATCTCAATTTATAGTCGCAATGTTATTTTATTCAAGAGCCTTAGCCACAGCCACGCATGGCGACCCGGCCACGCGTTTATATATAAAAATTACGTGTCACGTTGTTTGTCCGCGATGGGCTTCTAAACTACTGAACCTATTGCAAATTTGATTTGCACGTTGTGTGCAATTTGATCCAACTTGAAAGATAGGATAGCTTACATCTCAATTTATTGTCGCAATATTATTTTATTCAAGAGCCTTAACGCATGGCCGGATCTACTAGTATAATATTCTCTATAGACATTTTGAACTATTCCGAATATCAAATGCAGATTTAAATGTTTCTTAAATCTTTAATGATTTAAGTATATACAAATTACGTATGTATGAAGGCAGGTATTCATTTTATTTTAAATCTTGTATATGTGTGTAGACTGGCGGCGGCCGTGCTGGTGGGATCTCGGTGCGAGGTTCGAGTCCCGCAACAGCCTCCGCGACGCGCGACCGTCCGGTACAACGGGCCGCTACAGACAGCCCGCGGGCTCTGGATTGGAGTACAATATGATGAACCGCGGGGGAAGAATGATGGCTCGTCAGTATTCATGTTTAATCATTTTTTTATACTATGTAGGTGACAATCAAGCAAACGGGCGGTCTGATGGTAAACATTTACTATAGCCTATGGACGCCTGAAACACCTGGAGTGTCTCTTTCGATTTGGCGACTCTGTCATATTCCTTAGCCATTATTCCTAAAAGCTAGTGCTATTTGGTGGTCTAACCATTAGAAAGAGCAAGAAATTTCAAGCAAGTTCCCTTTTAAACAAATGTTGTCCAACTTTATGATTATGATTATTTAATCTTAATCTATTCTAATATAATAATAATAATAGTTTAAGAGAATATTTATAGTTTCATTTTGTTTCAGTGTACGAATTCAAATGTAAATATATGTATCTTTTCTTCTGGCAATAAATACATACATTATATCATTATTATTATTGTTATATATATTATATGTGTATTATATAATTATATCTTAATGTTTAGTTGTTGTTATTTTTAATGTTTTTCTTTCTTAAATCATTTTACAGTGTCAATGGCCAGCGTTACTTCACGTGTCCACAAAACTACGGAGGTTTCGTGAAGCCAGTGTATGTTACAGTGGGAGATTTCCCTGAAGAGCAGTTCGATCTCGACGATGAGATATGATCTCGTCACATGTCTACATACTGCACCGCCTAATTTCCAATGTAACCTGAGTTATATATAGGACATTATTATTTCAACCGACTATCCATTATATTGAGGGCCTCAGTGGTCTACCGGTTTAGCAGCTTTACTTCCGGTGGTCGCGGGTTCGATTCCTAGCACGGTATATATCTTTATCTTAAATCCCGAAGATAGCCACGGCATCACTAAAAACTAACTGGTTGATCGGTTTAATATGATAGAACTTTATGTGCCCGTTTTTTTTCTATTTATACAATTTATATATTATGGATCACATATCCTATGTTTTATAGTATATTTGGTACACAATATTTACACTAGCTTGAATATCATGAAAACAATCTTATATTATAAAATGAATATGTATTTTTGTAAACATCTACTTATTTGAAAAGAATAAGAGCCGAGTTTCTCATCAGCTGTTAGTTTGAAAGCACTTGAAACTGATGGTAGATGTGACAGACCTACATGAATAAAGATTTTGAATTGATTAACCAAGAATAGGTTTACAATGTTTTTATGGCGTATATTTGCTACATAATAGCTAGTTATCATAAAGACAATTTTGTTTTATGATAAAAATAACGGTTGAAATAAGAAATGTCCTGCAATATAACTCAGTTGCAAGGAATAAATAACTATATAGCTTGCTGGCAGGCTGAATTTACACTTTAGCTTTAACGCATTTCGAAATGTTTTATTTGATATATTTTAATAATCATGAATGATGGATGAGTTTAAATACTCAATTATAAAGTTATTTAGGCTATATTTGATATATATTGTAAACTAGTTGATCCCGCAATTACATAATACCCGTATTTTTTTGTTTCTAAGCTATTGTAACGAAGCTAATACTAACCATACGATAGTGAAAACAGCACTCAAATTGGTTAAGCCATTTGCGAAAATATTTCGTACAAATGAACAGATTGAAAAATTCTTTGATCACAACACTGAGTTCTATTAAAAATTATCAATTTTTAATAATGTTTTTGAATACAATTTCATTATATGTATATTACTTATTTTTAGCAGCCACTACGTCTGCTAAAAATAAGTAAAAATGTTGTTGCGACTAAGATGTTAGGAAAGTGAGCTACTAGCTGAGAAATGTGGTCCAGTTACATTAGTACTTAACACTTATATAAGCTATGAAAAAGTGGGGCCTCCAAGTAACGTGCACATGACACCGCTGGTGTTTCAGACTACTGTTCATAGGCTATGTAACCGTTTACCATCAGATGGGCCGTGTACTTGTTTACCACCATAATAGTATATAAAAAACAGGCATTATTAATCATAAAGGGAAGCCTCAACGACAAGATATTAAGTTAAATTCCCACAGAAATATTTTTTTTATCTGCAGTAAAACTAATTTTATGGTTTTTTGGAATTTGTATGCCTCGAGGCATATAATATACAACATGACTGACGTAATTTGTAACCAGGGTGTGGTCTGACTAGAAATAAGATGCACGTAGATATTGAACGGAAGGTCGGAGTTTGTAATTTTTCTTAAAATTATTTAATTCAAGTATTACTGTAAATATCAATCATGATGAATATATAAAGTAACACGATAATATGTATTGAAATTGAAATTATCAAGAAATGAAGTGAATGAATTTTATAGTGTTGTTTATCACCTCTTTGAACTTCAAAATTGAAATACGGTTGTAATTAAAATTTTGTATACAAGCCACTAAAATGTAGACAACTTAGTAATGGCCACGGTATTTAATGAAATTATTTAAATTATTTTGACTCGTAAAATATGCAGTAAAAATATTAAAATATCAGTTATCACGCGCACCATGCTACAGCACGCGATTTACATTTACAACCGCTTTCAAAAAAAAGCTTGCGCGTTCAGTAGGGCTGTATTTTGTTTAATTTTTGTCAAATCGATTTGATAAATTTTAATTTGAAAGTCTAATGCGTCTCGTGTTGCCTATACATTTGATAAAGATGTTAATTTTGTGGTTTCTGAATAATGCAATTTAGTCCGTTTTTTCGTGGCCTGAACATGATATTGCGTAGTCAGTTATTCTCTGTTCATGATTTATACAATTTGCTAAGTTTGTAATTAAATAAAAAACAAAACTGACGCAACTATATTATTATTATTAGACGCAACATGAAGAAACTAATATAAGGTAGCTTTCTATGTTATTTCTTTAATCCCCCAAATTTGAATAAACAAATATTTTGTTGATATTTTGTCATTATTAAAAAAAATAAACAAATGTTGCCATTGGGGTGAATTTTGAAAATAACATTTGTATTTACTAAGATTTTTCACAACTTATATACCTATGTATATAAACAATAGCTTATCTATACATATTCACATTCCAAATGATTGGTTATTATATAATTAGTGATTAATTTTATTTATCATAAGTATTTACCTAACGCTTTGTAACCTGTCGAAGTTGGATTATTTTTTACCAAGAATAAAATTTTAAAACCACTTGTTTTTGTTATATTTTTAACCCCAAACGAATGAGTAGTTGACAGAGTTAGTTAAATATTGTAAATCTAGACATCATAGTGTTTAGATTTAAATTAGTTCTTGTATCATAAAATAATAATAGTAATAAGGCGGAACTAAATAATTGACACAAATTGTTTTTCAATATATACATAGAAATTATCATATGTTAGTACCACGTGAGGAATCGAACCCGCGACTGTCAGCTGTAAGGCGGTGTGACCGCTAGGCATAAATATGACTAATGATATGTTAAAAGATTTGTATAAATCAAATTAAAAATTGGGCAGGAATATTTTTAGTTCTATAAAAAAAACTATTTATTACATAACAATGGTAAGCATATACTCTGATTTTTAGTGACTATGTTATAAAAAATAATCTTGAAGATTTAAAAATGCGTCATATTCCATATCAATGGTATAAATGCCCATTCAACATTTTTAAATATATAGGAAAAAGTTTTCAAACTATTTTACAGAACAGGAAATTTATTTCCGCCGTAATTTAATCCATTACGGGATTTATTATTAGGCGCCTCTGACTTTGATGATTATTTTTAATTTTGGAAATGTGCTCTTCCATATCTTTGTATATAATACATGTGATTTTATTCCCCTTAAAGTTGGTTTAAATAAAAAAAAAAATAACTGGGTAGTCTTGAATAGCTCTATTAAAATTAAAAATTGTTGAAATTAACAGCCCGCAGTCCATCATGCACGCAGATAATATTTAAGGCATGGTAATCTTCGCCACTTGGTATTAAGGAGCCCACTGCAACATGGCTGAAATGTAAACAAAACAAAGCAAAACTAGTCAATGTGTGCAAAAGGGACCCCTTCGCAGCTGCGATCACGCTATAGTGACCTAAAAATCACCTGAAAATCATACTTCATGTCCATTGTAAAGAATTTTATTAAATCACAATGACAATATTCCAAGCATGCATTTAAATTATAATTGCTTATCTACACATAGTGGGCCAACAATTATATTTTGTTAAATCTATCCTACCAAGCCCGTATAATGTTGAATTTTATAAAAAATATCGTACATACGTCCGTGCACACACACGGAATCTGCTAATTATTCATCAAAACGTAAAATTATAAATAAACCTAAGTGTGATAGGCATCGCTATATTTTGATCCTAAACTTTTTATACAATTGTATTTAATATCTATCAAATAGATTTTCAATTGTGTTAAAACAGTACGTAGTACCTTCACCGAATAATATGAAGAGAAAGCGAGAAATCAATTCTATCAATTGATCAATACGATAGAGCAATCTAACATTAGTATAATAAGATTTAATTTGAATTAGCACGTAGTCAATGTATAAAATATGATCTAACAGGATACAGACATATGTAACCGAAGTTCGAGATAATAAAAGGGGAAACAACTTAAAATTATTGACGCTACAACAAAAATCTGTGAATATAACGCCGAGCCGAGTATATGACGAGTCTTCAATCTTCCTGAAGCGCATTTCTTGACGTTTCCAGTTGATTCGGGTGACACGGCCGCCGTCGAGGTATTTTGCACACATTGCTAGCGGTATTAAACTATGTCGAATTGAAGATATTTGTGATGTAGATGTATCACTTAATTAACAAAATATAACTACTAATTTTTAAATTATACAAATGCATGTGTACTTTACTACTAAAACTCCATTTCGACATTTTGAAATAACGACAAAAAATTACGCCCGCCGAGTACAACTGTGCAGTTTGCATTTTATAATTTAATGCAATTGAAATTAATAAAATATTTTAATGTTGCAACACGTCATATGATTATGTGTAAATATATTTCATTTTAAATTGGAAAACATTATATACATAGCATTTAACATGAGGTTTAAAGGTAACGTCGTGATTGGTCATCGCATGAGTAAACGACAATCACTTCGCATGTTCGTATGAACAAGGCTGCGTGGGCATCGTTTAGTCGATCGATTCAATTAGGAGATCGCGTCATGTACGTGTGGCAACATACAACGTGATGTGAGGGTTTGTATTGAGAGTGCAATTGTTCTAGACGCGCGTATATAATGATGTAGCAACCGTACCTGGCCCGGGTCACTCCACTTGAGCGCCCAGGCGCGTTCCTCTTCTCCTCGTGCAAGTAACAAACAAAACACCACTTGGGTAACCAATAAGGCACTCATATATTTCAACTTTCATCTTTGTATAAAAAAAATCTTTGGCGTTACGGTATCGGCGGTCGGCCGGCCGAGTCACAGCTATGTGTTCTTTGTAAACTCTGACAAAATATATGACAACGACAATCTAATGATTAGAAGTGATAGCTGTAACTCGTCGAGCCGCTATCGTATTCTCTTCGGGGCCCGCGTCACCCGAATCATTTCCACTGGAAATATCCGACTTTCCACCTGCGCCGGTGTCAAGCTACTCCTTCTTTGTTCTCAGTGTTTTCTTGCACTTCACTGCTCTCGTTTGTTTCTGATAGCTCTCTATCTGGACTGAACATGTCGACAGCTTTCGTACTGTCTGACAATTCGAATGTGGGCTCCTTTTCAATAGGAGGTAATGATGTGTCATCTATCGGAGTGTGTATTGAAAAACTAGTGTCTACGCCATCGCTGGCGTCATAAAGATCATTTGCACTGGGTACGTTTTGTGGAGCTTCAGATTCTATTGTATCTGTTTGCTTCTGTAGGTAACTTTCTTCATTGTCTAAACTGTTTTCATTAGAACTCCTTTCATCATTACTAAAAGCATCATCTTTGTTCTCTCTCTCCTGCTCAATTGAGTGAAAACTTTCCTGTTCGTTGGAGATTGGATTCGAATTCGCAGACTCTCTAAAGCCATCAAAACTGTCATTCTCATTTAAACTCTTATAACTTTCTTGGGTATTAGAATTGCTATAAGTTTCTTCTACATTCGATTCTTCTATGCTTTCATTAATTTCAGAATCTTTGTCTTCAATAGTTGTCGAAACTTTGAATGTATCTTGATCATCAGTAGGAGCATCGTACTCTTCTCTTTCATTTGTTACTAGATCACTATTATTTTTATGTGCACTCGAATTTGTTTCATAACTTTCATCATCCATTTTTTCTTCTAATTGTGCAGGGTTTGTATTCCCTTCATCTTGCTTATTATTATCATTATTCTGTACATTTTCTTTTTCCTGACTAGCGTCAATATTCTCACAATTTTCATTGCCTTCACTATTTACATTAAATTCAATATTTTCTGCACTCTCTTCTGCCTGATTCTGATTCTCGATGACAGCTGGTTCTTCGGCAGCTCCCCATCTAGATTTCCTGTCTTTATCACGTCTAGGATTCCGATCTTCGCGGGGTGGTCGCGACTGATCTGCTTCAATAGTTTTTCTGCGATCTCCGCGATCATTGCGCTCGCCACGGTCACCGTGTTCGCCGCGTTCTCCACGATTACCGCGGTCACCTCGGTCACCACGGTCGCCGCGGTCAAAACGGTTGCCGCGGTCTGGACGATCGCCTTGATCCCCACGGTCAACTCTCTCATTATGGTCAGCACGATCAGGCCGTTCAGGTCGATCGCTGTGATCAGCGCGGTCACCGCGACTTGAACGATCTCTGAAACGATCCTCGTGATCCCTGTTCCTTCGATCCCTTCTGCGGTCATCCCACTCGCCGCGATGTTCCCACCCACGGTCTCTGTCTCGATCGCCGTTCCAACCTCGGTCCCCGTAGTGTTCACGATCACCGAAACGCCTACCTCCCCGTTCGAAGAACTCTGGTGGTCCATCAAACCTCGGAGGACCATCGAATTGACGTTCCTCATCAAACTGGTCGTCAAACTGTCGAGGTGCGTCAAATGGTGGCCTTTTTCCATCGAAGGGTGGTTTAGGTCCATCAAAAGGTGGTTTAGGTCCGTCAAAAGGTGGTCTTGGTCCATCGAACGGTGGCCTGGGACCGTCGAATGGTGGTCTAGGTCCGTCGAACGGTGGCCTCGGACCGTCAAATGGGGGTCTCAGCGCGTCGAAAGGTGGTCTCGGCCCGTCAAACGGCGGCCTCGATGTGTCGAAAGGTGGCCGGGTAATATCGAAAGGAGGTCGAGGACCATCAAAAGGCGGTCTTGAATTATCGAACGGCGGTCTAGTCATTCCGTCGAACGGCATTCTATTAAATGGAGGAGGTTCGAATCTAGGCGGCCCCTCGAACATTGGTGCACCTTCGAAGGGTCTGTCGAAGGGCGGTCGAGCGAAAGGTGGTGGGCCCATGCCGTTGAATCTCGGTCCAAAGCCGACTCCCGGGCCTGGCCCCGGGCCGGGACCGTCCATCCATGGTACTGAAATTATAGAGAAGAAAAAAATAAGTTATGCGCATCATTTTATGAAAACTTCTGGTTTCATTTTATACAAAATCAACTGAAACATGTTACGTGATAAATCGCGCATTTTTCTCGATTCTTTTCGCAATTAGTATAGTTTATCTCTGTTTTGGCCCAGATAGCTGGCCTGCTTGTATTTTGGAGAATTATTAAATATCATTTAAAATATCCATTACTTATAGAAAACAATATATGTATAATCCATACTTCGAGAAAAACAAACTGTACAAGTATGCAAATTCAATAATTAAAATGAACAAATAGATAGCTTTTTGATACACACTTTTGATAATGTAATAAACCCCTAGTTACGATTGTATACGACCTCTATACCGATTATGGTTTTAATTTATATTTTTGCCGTCAAATCGCGACATATTTTTCAAAATTGTAACTAAAGAAATTCTATTCTACAATTATGGGTACATATTATTTATTAAAGCCATATTGAACTAGCAACCGAGAATAAGCCAACCAATTCATAGTTGTCTGTGTACATTTCATTTTGATTGAGATTCACGCAGGATTTGTGGGTTCGAAGAGAAGAATCAGGAGATCACTATCATTAGGATGTCTTTGATATATATAAGTAGGGTAAAAGGTGATTAAGAGAACAAAATATAAGAAATCCCGAGTCCTTAAGTCATTCTACTTTATATCAAGACAATGATAAACTGACGCTATTAATGTTAGAAACATTGCAACAATTATCTATAAACTAGCATATAAAACATATTGTACATAACTGAAAATGAACTACTTAAACTGGTTTCTAAAAAATCAGTTAAGTTTCTTCCCAGTGCTTCTCAATTTTATCTGTATTAAAAACTGGATAGTACGGAAAAAATATTAATACAAAAAACTTGATGTTCATAAGCGGCTAAAATGTCCTAAAGAAATAAATTATATTAGATTTGTATAATATTTAATGAAATGTTAGACATTCGGATTATTATACTCTCTCATACCTTGCATAGGCTGTCTGGGTGGTCCCCGCATTCTCAATTCTGTAACACAGAAAAGTAAACATTATATATACAAGCACAAAGTGTATTTTAGAAGTGTAATATTAAACATGAATAGCCGAAAGTGATGTTTAACACGGTTCTCGAGAGGTGGAATGCAATTATACAAAATGGCTGTATAATTTTTTTTTTCTTCGACTAGCAACACCAACGACAGTTGTAATTTTCAGCTGGCCGTAATAAATAAATAATTTTTAATAGTCTATCACACGAATATTATATTTTCGACATCGTTATTAGTGATATAATAGTGCAATAAGTGTCGATTATTGTTTGTGTACAATTTAGTAGTGTATTATTTGCAAAAATCGACATTAAAAAATTTTTCTAACATATATTGACGTAAGAGAAAAATTGCCCGGACAATCCATTTTTTTTTCACATATAAATTGTCAATTTAAACACTTTAATAATATATTGACAGCAGATGTATCAGTCTAAAACAAATTGTTTTATGGACAAATAAAAAATATATATCTCATAATGTAACTGAACATAGGAGCGACTGAAAGTGGAATGCCTTTTGGACTCACACCCATTTTTAACCGACTCCAAAAAAAGAAGAGGTTCTCAATTCGGCTGTATGTTTTTCTAATGCTCATTACTTCATAATTCCGTCATTTATAAACCGATTTGAAAAGAAGATATTTTTAGATGTGTACAATTTTTTTTGGATGGGTGATCTATTTGTGTTAAGTTATATAAGCTGGCTAGTCAAGGCTGGGAATAAGAACTAACCACGATGGTTTTCAAGAGTCACCGCGTGGAGGTCGATTTGGCGTGGTAAATTGCTAGTAATGCGGTAATAGACCCCATTGCTAGTAACAGCAGTGGTTGTCCGTCACTAACAATCTTCTTACATACTGACGGTGTGGATTAGTGTTGTGTAGCATGACGTGTTATTGAGACAGAACGTGTCGGGTGTGACATGTTGCAGCCTCCTTCTATCGATCTTCCGTTCGATTCAAAAGGGGATTGAAATTACGACGGCTTTAGCCGAGGTTCGATTCACTAGCGGTGGTCTCGGACTAAAGTCGTAGTCCTTAAGGCGGGAGTTGGCCTTTAGTTGCTCCATAAGTCCCACCGCGGGTTCGGAGTGCCATCTGCATTTGCCCGCATTCGTCTGATGAAGTCGTAAAGGCCAGCCGCGGCAAACAGAATTAGAGTAGACAGAAAAAGAAATCTTCCAAGCGAATCGCTCAGAGACAGAAATAAGTGAGACCACTCGCGCCTTATCGTCCGATGAGCCGACAGTAAAGGCCGATAGGTAAAAAAAATGTAGAGCAATAGTAGTGGGAGAGAGGCAACGTAGTGTGGTGTAGTGGTTGGACCTGCTCTGAAGGGCGGCGCGAGGTGCGGCGGCGGCAGGCGCGGCGGCAGCTGCGTCCAGCCGGGGCCCGGACCCGGACCGGGGCCCGCACCGGAGCCGCCGGGGCCCGGCCCGGGGCCCGCACCGGGGCCCGCGCCCGCCCCGGGCCCCGCGGCCGCGCTCGGCGGCTGCTCTGCGAGTTCCGCGTCTGTAAATCACATGGTACTACTTCACCCCGTCTGTAGATACGTCGGACCTATTGCCTAGAACGGTTCTATGTAAGCTGTGATCCGATTTCAAGGAGTACATAACTGTAATTACAGGTTTCGAAGCCACGACGACGTCGCTAGATTGGACTACCCTTATCATCCCTTATTATTGGTATAAAATAATAAAAGTATTTCGCGAGATAAAAGGGAAACGCAATTTATTAATAAATCAATTATAGTTTTATTAGGTGGATGAAAATTATCACATCGCTGGCAGCTTCCCTATCATCTTTTAATTTGATGCAAAGATATTTTGAATTTGAATTTGTATAATGATTAGGGCACTCATAGGACGCTCTTACTGTAAATTGAACAAACATATATCAAACCTAGACCTGTGCACAACCAAAATATGCAGATTTTATCAAACTGAAGAGAAAAGGCCACCACACACTACCACAAACCAAGACCACCACACTCCTATAAAGAAAATATCTCCTTTAGATGGTATATACTCTATCCGCTATACATCTTATGACGTTATAGCCCACTCATATATAAACAAAATGTATACTTTTAGACAGTATATACTCTATCCTGAAAATATAAAGACCATTTCTCCTTAGAATATCCTTCAATCTTAGTCCCTGAGAGGTAGATACTTTACATAGCGTACTTCGAAAAAAGGGCGAGCATAATAGATCTATGTACGTTGCAGTTCTAAATTACTTGTAACTAGCCCGGACCTCTAAATAATAGAGATATAAAAAAACATACAATTCTCAGTTATGAAATGAATATATGAATAAATGAATATAAATGAATTATACATGAAATCAGGACGAACAACAATGTATAACACTGACCGTCTTCTGCAGGGGGTGGTATGTCTAGCCGCATGGGTGGTATATGATCCAGTAGCGGCGGTCGCTCGCTCCGCTCGGTCCGCTCGGTCCGGTCTCGGCCGTCGGGGAACTCCTCCCGGGGCTTGTCCCCTTCATCCCGAGGCTTCCCGTTCGCCATCTCCCACAGTCGTTCTTGCAGCGACTTTTCGGGGTTCTGCTCCATGTTGGGGTTGTTTCTCGACGGCGATTTGTCCCTGCTGCGTTCTCTGTTGACAATTTTTATGTTTTACTAGCTGTACACGTGACTTCTTCCGCGTGGAATTTGACTTTATTTTTCTAAATATAATAAAAGTAGCCATCAGCTACCTGCCAAAAAAGTCCCGTCAAAAGCAATCAAGCGATTTCAGAGATTAGCCAGAACAAACAAACAGACAGACAGATAGACAAAAATTGTAAAAAAATATATTTTGATGTATGTACCGTATTTATATTTATATGCATGTGGTAAAAAACGATTATTTCAATATTACTAACAGACACTCCAATTTTATTTGTGTATAGATGTATAGATAAGTTTTACTATGATAAATATTTGATATAAAAGAAATCTGGATATATATTGCAGTTCTCTTGGATATTTTAATTTTATATGTATGTATGTATGTATGTATAGTGATTGTTAAATGTATTAATCCGTACCTCTGTTAATGTTAATTCTAATGAGAAATGAGGACTGTCTGATAACCAGCGCTGTGTAGGTGCACCTCATTGAGGTCGTGCTTATATCAGCAACAGCTGAGGCAGTTCCTGTTGCCAACTTTGTATATATTTTTCAAAAGCAATCATAATTTTTAAGATTTACGCAGTATGTTATACAAAAATGACAGACAGATAGACAAACTTATGAAAAATATATTCTGATGTAAACGTTGTTTTGCCATATAATTTTAAGTACCAATATGGCTATTAAAAAATAGGGGTTGGTGGTAGAAGGGTGAACATTTAGAGTTGTTACATAAGTATTAAAAATAAACATGTTACATCATGTTTATTTTTAATGCCTAATGCCTGTAAACATTAACAGGCATTAGGCAAAATTAATGCTATTTCATAAAAAAATTAAAAAACATTGCCCAAAAATATAAAAAATATGTTAGGGGTGGACTACCCTTATCACTTAGGGGTATGAAAATAGATAGTAGCCGATTCTCAGATCCGAAATATGCATAAATTTTTTTATAAAAATCGCTTAAGCCGTTTCGGAGGAGTATGGTAACTAACCTTGTGACGAGAGAATTTTATATATAAGAAGAAGATATTATCGAAGAAAAGAGAAGAAGGAGAAAACCGAAACAGTTATATCAAGCAGACCAAGGAAAGTCGGAGTCGTGTCGTATCAACAACTAAAGAAAATGAATGAATGTTATAAGTAATTCACTTTAAAACTATCGTTTTCTCTTCGTCAAATTTTGAAACGCTAAAAGTGTGCCGCAATAATAATAAGTTTGAGTATCAGTGGTATAGATAGATGAGTATTATACGGACGGAATATATGATGGATACTGACCCGTTGCCGTCCCGGGCGGAGAACCTGTCTCGGTCGCGGTCGCGGCGGTCGCGGCGGTCGCGGTCACGGTCACGGTCGCGGTCACGGTCACGGTCACGGCGGTCATCCCGTTCCCTGGACAGAGTTAACAGTATATTATAATATACAATAATATTGTTAATAATAAATAATAATAATTTCGTGTAGTCTTATTAAACAATACGCCTGTATTGTTCAATAAGACTACTATGTTATGTGTCTGTAATTGTGAATAAATTGTGAATTTATCTATCTATCTAATCGTCAGTTGAGACTAGGTCTCACAATTACAGACACATAACATACATGAGATACAGAAAAAACACGAATTAATAAAAGAAATGTAGGTGGCTTTATGTGCCGCAAAAGTAAAAAGGCAGCCAACTCAGCATAATGCTACAGGTAATTCTGCAGCGCTGATATACTGATATTTAGCTTCTTACATATACTATACTTATTACAAAAAAAAATACATAAATACTAAACTTCGAGCTCTTTATAGATATATAAAGTTATTAAACTACTTATACTATATAAATACTATAACAAGGATTACACATATATTGATATGGTGAAAGGCTCCGCGAGACTGATGATGACGAATATGATGTAAGATTGGTCTTTGATTCACGTCCTCCTTACACCCTATATAATATATTATATACATAGATACATATATAACAACTATAACAATGTATTATTGTATGGCAACAGTAGTTCACGCTCGGGATTTTCATTTAATGTTAGATATCACCTACATAATACAACATCCACACCGATGCAAACGATCATACTGATGAATACGCCGTTTGCATCGTGCGAGGAATCAAACCCTCAACCATCGGGAGTAAAACGGTCTGCTAAACCGCTAGACCACCGAGGCCGTCAATAATAATAATAATCTCAGGACAATACACACCGCAAATTAAGTCCCAAATTAAGCTCACTAAAGCTTGTGTTATGGGTACTAGATAACTGATATAATTTTTTTTATAAATACATAGATTTTTTTCTTAAATACATACATATTTTATATAGAAAACACTATCAGTATAATGATAGTGTTTTGATTTTAATTTTAATGACTCATGAATACAAATGTTTGCACCGTGCGAGGAATCGAAGCCACGATCATCGGAACCGAGACCGTCAATGTTCTCCAAACAGCAAAATATGTGAATCGTTATTACAAGCGTCACTCACCTGTCGCGATCTCTGCCTCGGTCGCGATCCCTCCGGTCACGGTCACGGCGGTCACGATCGCGGCGGTCACGGTCACGGTCACGGTCGCGACGGTCACGGTCACGGTCTCGCTCTCCCTTCCTGTCATCATCGGGCTTGTCGTCGGGCTGCGCTGTGCTGTATCCTGGCGGAGGCTCCGACGAGTTGAAGGCCGGCGGTGGCTTCGAGAGGAGCGCTTGAAGCTGGTGACAATAACAATGATATTAATCATAGAACGTCATGCTCGTGAACGATTGCTGTTTGTAGAGACTGGTCTGGCCAAATTCACTACTTTTAAATATTGTAATCTTATGGTATATACAAATAAAGTTTTATACCTGGTCACACACGGATAGTTTCACCTTGTGATAAGGGGGCGGTAGATTAAAAAAAATGTGATGACTATTCAAAAGTGCTACGATGTAAGTTTATTTGAATAAATGGGGACGGTCGGGATCGAATGGGCGATGGGTGTGCGGACAAAATTTTAAATATCTTTTAGTTGCTCCTTAACAAGAATTTTTTTGATTCCAACTTATAATCTTGGGCGGCGCGGCTGGTTCAATGGTCACATCACTACAAAAGCAAACTCCGCTGGCGGCTCGTCGCCGTCCAGTTCCATCGCATCGTCCGCTGCGGCCACGCCCGCGGCCGAAGCCTGCAACACCAAATAATCCTAATAATATTATAAAATGCGAAAGTTTGTGAGTTTGTTAATCTCACGCAGAAACTACTGTACAAATTTGATAGTAATAGCATATATATACATAACATATGGGGGCAAGCTGCAAGTAGTGAAGGGGAGGTTAATGCATTCTAAAAGGGCCTTTTAAACCTACACCCGTGTCACAAGTTGCAGGCGCTGCTTGGAGTTTCCCTTTCGGCTTCAAAGCCTAAATCGTCATCATTAATTAGTGCTTGCTTACACTATACTTGATGCATTTATATTATTTTGTTTAATATCGCTACGATTATTTATTTATTCATTTATTTCAGACGACTAGGCCCATATTATAAATACCTTATAGACTAACATACATATAATATAATATTTAAAAACTAATACAATGATATTGTCTGTGTGATCACGGCACTGAAGACGGCAATCTGCCACAGTAGCGCCGATACACCACACCTTTCGGCCAGTAGTCCTCTTTCATGAAGGTGGGCAGCAAGTCGGTGGGGACCAGGGCCACAAACGCTTTGAAACTCGCGTTGTAACTCGACTTCAGCTGCGTTACCCTCAATGTCAGGTACGAATATAATCGACAATGTCCTGCTCCTTAGTGGCGTAATGTAGACGGGACAGGTACATTGTCGTGGTCGGTGTAGCAGCACGCAGCAGAAAGTTGGGCCCAGTGAATGCAGTGCCACAATGATTCCTATTGACCCTGTTTGTGCGCCTCTTCTTTTGTACTACGACGAAGCCATCATCGTCGCGTGATCGCATCGTTAGCATGAGATCACAAATATTCGATGTAAAATCTTGACCTTCTCTATTAGTGATCAAATTCCGACCGTTATTGAGTCTACACCCATATTGCGTCGTGTTTCGCCTCTGAACGAGGCATCATCAGGCGTTGAATAGAGTTCGGATATAGCTTGGAAGCCATAATACAAATGAGTACACCTGTGAACATACCTGTAGGTGTGGTGGATGTGGCGGCTCCCGTCGCGGCAGTAGCGGCAGTCCCCCGGCTACGAGGCCGCCCACGCCTAAAAGTCCGCCCAGGAAACCGCCCACCATACCTGCAGACAAACAAACGCATGCTTCAATTAACAGACAAATATCACAATTACTTATAATGATAACATTAATAATATATTTTTTTTATTTCATTATTGGAGTCGTGTCGTCACCAAGACCACATAAAGACATTGCAATTATTAAATTTATTTTTAGGTAAGGTCCAAGATGCTGATGTATACACAGAAGCCTTGTCTTCCGTAATAAATAAATTAAGAATATTTTTGTCATTGTATTAAGTAGTATGTATAGACAGTATAATAGTTTTAAAATATAAACGTGTTGGCAATTAGCTGTAAGTTTATATTGTGTTAATTAAAAGAAATAAAATAAGTAAATAAATGAAGGTTTAAAGAATATGATGGAAGATCGCAGAAAGTGGCAAGAGCTACACCGACAAGAGCGTTGCTCTTAAATTAAGAAGAACCAAGATGTTGTACATAGTATTACATATCAACATAGTTATACTTATATTTATACAATTATAATATATTTTATACAATTACTTATATATTTACTTTAAATTTATATGCAAAAATCATATTAATTTGACAGCCTCGGTGGTCTAGCGGTTTGGCATACCGCTTTACTTCCGATGGATGCGGGATCGATGCCTCGCACGGTGCAAACAATAGTATTCATCAGTATGATTGTTTGTATCTGGGTGTTTTCTATATATATTATGGATGTATTTACAAGAAAAATCTATGTATTTATATCAGTTGTCTAGTACCCATAACACAAGTTCTGCTTACCGTGGGACTAGATGGCGCCGTGTTAATTTTCCAGAGGTATTTATTTAAACTTTATATATAAAAATTACGTGTCACGTTGTTTGTCTGCGATAGACTCCTAAACTACTGAAGCGATTGCAAATTTGATTTACACATTGTGTGCAATTTGATCCAACTTGAAACATAGGACAACTTACATCTCAATTTATAGTCGCAATATTATTTTATTCAAGAACCTTAGCCACAGCAACGAGTGGTCGGGTCTGTTAGTTAAAAATATATTGTAATCGTTCTCACAGAAACTAGATGGCGTAGCCACTGAAGTCTGTTTTAACTGGCACGCTCTCGAACGGTTGCTATTAACGCTAATACAATTCTGTTGAAATTATATTTGTTACATAAAATGAAGAGTTTCATACCTGATTGGGCCAGAGACTGTGGAGGTATACCCGGCGGGAAGCGCAGCAACCCACCAGGCGGCAGACCAGCTTCGCCTTGTAGACCTGATAGCACAGAGGGGAGTGGATTGTTAGTAAAGGAGACAAAAACCATCGCTCCTAAGAATATCCTTCAATTCTTGTCCCTGACGGGTCTAGGTGGGCGGACGGATGAACTCTGAAAAAGGGCGAGCACAATAGATCTATGTAAGTCGCAGTGCTACATCCGATGGTCGTGAATACGATACCTCGCACGGTGCAAACACTTGTATTCGTGAGTATGTATTGTTCGTATAGGTTACTTCACTATTTTGCTGCTCATAATCGTAAATATCAAAAAAGATAAAAAGAAAACGATGTTCAAACCCAAATCGATAAAAAATATGTGGAACTGAACAATAATGAAATAATAATTAAGAAAACGTGATAAAATCCCGTGATTTTTTTTATACATAAGTATAAAAAATTACTTCAAATTTAAAAAATATAAATTGGTGCTATTTGCTAATTTATATTCACACAAATTGTTAAAATTAAGACATTTAGTTACATTGAGTTAACAATACAAAAAGAAAAAATAATATCAATGCAGTATTCCATAAATATCGTACGGGATTCGAGCTCATAGCCATTTGAAAGTGAAACAATGTAGTCGTAGGAATGTTATCCACTACACCACCAAGATAGTGAAAAAAACGTGTTTTTTTATTTTTTATTAATAATGGGTTTGCGCTGGTCTGGTCTGCTGGTCTTACCTCAATTTAATAATGTAGTGTCAGTTTCGAAGTAGATTGCACCATTTGCCAAGTTCTGGTTTAAATATTTAGGTTTGCCATCGAAAGAGAAGAGAGAACAAGAAGAATCTTTTTGTGGAATATTATATTACCTGGTACTCCGGCGGGCATGTTCGGAGGCCTCATGTTGGGCGGCAAACCCGGGGCCAGGCCCGGTGGCATACCAGCCGGCATTCTGTATAAATTAAACAAAGTATACAATAAAAATTGATTCTACTATCATGACTAATAGCTATGAATAATAACTGTACTTATAATAATAATTGATTTATTTATAGTGTCAAGTAAGCATGATGCAGAAGTTGCGAGGGTCAGCTAGTATAATACATAAATGTGGAAGCTTGTGAGTCTGGATAGATGTGTGGAATTTTTTTTACTCTTTCACGCAAAAACTAGTAAATGGATTTTAATGAAACTTTACAATAATAATATAGCTTATACATCAGAACAACACATCTTTACATAGTATAAGATGAAGTTGTTTCCGTTGTCTGTATGCTTAGATATTTTAAACTACTCATCCAATTTTAATATAGTGAAAACTATATACTGATTAAAGAGGAAGGTTTATATGTATAATATATACATATTATTCTACAGAAACCCCGAAAAATTAAAATATTTGTACTGTTATGTTGATTAATCACTCCACACTGACCGATATTTAACTACATTGTATTGGGGCGAGTCGCTAGTAGACGATAAATTAAAGGTGAGTGAAACCGCGGGCACAGCTGGGAAACCAATATGACAACTCACCCGGGCGGAGGCATCCTAGACACCTGCATGGCCATGGTGGCGGCCGGGCCGGCCTGCAGCCCCGCCAGCTGTAACGGAGGCATCGTGGGCGGCGGCAGCGACGGCAGCGACGGCAACGACGGTAACGACGGCAACGACGGTAACGACGGCAACGACGGCGGCATGCTGCCCATCATACCGGCGGCGGACGCCGGGGGCATGCCCGGCATCATCGGCATGTTGTCCATTATAGTTTTTGGGATTATCTGTGGGGTAACGAGCCGTATGAATACCGGATGACTTTTATTGTAACGAGCTGCCAGAGTCTGTAGTAAATCTGACAGAAAAATGTCGTCTTAATTGCGAAGTTTTGACGGTTTAGGGGTTCAGCACAGCGCTTTACTTCCAGTGGTGGCGAGTTCGATTTCTCGCACGGTACAAACATTTTTATTCTCCGCCCTCGAGCGCGTCCAGTGAGAGCGCGGCCAGCAGACTATAGTGGGTGTGGTCGCGTGTCACGTACCCTGGGCGGGAGCCAGGGCGGCAGCGTGTCCTCGTCGACGGCGCCGCCGTCCTCGAGCGCGTCCAGTGAGAGCGCCCCGAGCAGCCAGCGCGCGTGCAGCGCCGCCCACGGCAGGTACGACACGCCCAGCTCCGCCTCCCAGTAGTCCTTCCACTCGCGCCCCTTCACGCCCTTGCCCGGCGCCCACGCCACCTGCACCGAGACAACTCGTCGACTTCTAATCTCCTCATACGCGTTATTGTGATGACCTATTTTATATCGATAACCTATTTTATATATATTGTTACCTCATTAGCTGTCTTTACACGACACATTCTCAAAGTCCTAAGCCCGCACGTCGAAGGATATAAGAACGTGGGGGCTGGTAGCGCATGCGGTCTATATCCGTCAAAATCAATTTATATTTCTTTGTCTACGTTTACATACACATTCCGTCCTGCGTGTAAGACTTCGTGCTCTATAGAGCTCACGTGTAAAGGCAGCTAGTGTCGGGGTGGAGCGCGCGTTACCGTGATCTCCTTGGAGTGCAGCTTGTGCCTGTCGAGCTTGTCCTTGGCCTTGGCGGCGTCCCTGCGGCGCTCCATGCCCACGAAGGCGCAGCCGCGCGGCGCCACCACGTCGATGGACAGCACGCCGCCCACCGCGCCGAACAGGTCCGACAGCTCCTCGGGCGTGGCCAGCTTCGACAGGTGCCCCACCCACAGCGTCGTGCTGCACACTGACCACCGCCACACGCTCTATCAGCCGCCTCGACCTCGTCCGCATCCCCACTACACCTCCGCTCCCCGCTCGCTAGAGTAGAGCCCGACAGGGAACCACCCTGCTAGCTCTAATCTAGCGAGCGGCGAGTGGCTCACAACCCTTCCTCTGCTGCACCCTGCTAGCTCTACTCTAGCATGCAGGAAATGTATTATTCACAATGGTTTTTTTTATGTATAATAATATAGTATTTCCACCTGTGCTAATGTGGACTAAAACTTGTGGGGGTTGCCATGGCAATGTACCATATTAACTTAATGGGGTTACCAGTGCAATGTACCATGTTAACTTGATGTCCACGCAGTTCCATCTAGAACCATCGTGACAAATTCCTGTTGAAATGACCACAATGGGCTAACTGACCAGACCTCATCCTCATCACATACCCTCACCCAGTGGTGAGGGTATGTGATGAGAGCAGATTCGATACCAGTGTATCGAATCTGCTCTCCATCTTGCTGTTATGCCAGGGATAATCACCTTTTTGAATCAGTTATGGACATTATAACTATAGTGTATATGTGAGAAAGAGAAAAACATATTATGTCGTCTCTAGCGCACACTGCTGACATCATGCGGTCATTATGTGGTAACGGCGAGTGAGAATGATGAATGATGTGTTTGTTACTTTTTGTCTTCCTCGGCAGTCAGGCAAACACCACTTGTGTTTGTAAAAAGTAACAAACACATCATTTGAATTCAACGAGACAGGAATGTAGCCTATCAGACGGATTAATTTTTACTTCGCTATTGGTCCTTCATCAATTATTACTGATGACTCAGTAATATAATATGGCATACAAAAAATTAATTAATTAATTTTGGTATAAATTAATTTTAAATTAATTAATTTTGAATATGAATGTATGTATATATATGATGTATGTATAATGATGTAAAGGGAGGGGACGCCCTAAGAAAAGATGGATGGATTGTGTGAAAGATGATATGAATAAAAGAAGAGTATGTTCAGATATGACGACCGATAGAGAGCAGTGGAAGAGAATGACATACTGCTACCGCATACCGACCCCAAATAATGGGATAAAGGCAAGGCAATGATGATACAAAGAATTTTGCTGTCTATCATATTTGAACTCGTGTAAAACGGGGTAGTGAACCATTAACCCAAAATTAATAAAATAGAAACTATGATAATTATGTTACAGAATTAAGTTCAATTATATTTAATTCCTTTACATATATATAGTTGAAAGAATTAACTGTTGAAAAAAAAATTAACATTATTTTCTTCTACAATAAAAAAAAATGAGTACACACATATCTTATTATTATATCTTACAATTATAATAAAACTCACCGCTAAGATTCTCTTTCTTAATCGGCGGCAAACCCTTCTTTTCTCTTTCCCTCTGCTTTTCTTTCTCAGCTTCTCTCTCTTTGTAAGTCTTCTCCCGATCTTTTTCCCTGTCTCTATAAGAGAAATAACATTATATGAATATTTGCATAATTAATAAGTTCATAAGTATTTCTATTTTCCTTTATTTATTCTATTGTCTACATTCATCAGGGATAATGTAAGATTCTAATAGTATTTGTTTTTTTGATCGGTCCAATAATACCGAATTCCATTTTATTACAGACAAACAATCAAATCTTTCCTATTTATAATTTAGTCAGGTTTTCTACACCCGAAGCTATACACAAAAAATATGCAAGAGCAACCGGATAGACAGACAGAAAGAAATCCTGTCGTATTTCAACATTTAAAGAGCATGATGGAACATCGTGGGAAGTGACAAGATCTCTACCGACACGAACGCGTCTCAAATTATGAATGTTACTAATATTATAAACGGAAAAGTTTGTGAGTATAGATGGATGTTTGTTACTCTTTCACGCAAAAAGTACCAAACGGATTTTGTTGAAACTTTACAATAATGTAAATTGTAATTGTAAATTGGTCGAAATATAACGATAAATGACATGTGTTTGATGCAGACAGTTGATGTTGTCTGATGCAGTAGTTGCGCGGGTCAGCTAGTGAATGAATAACATCAGTATGAATAACCTGTCACGATGTCGTCCTCGGCGAGGGGATCGCGATCTGGACCTGGAGCGCCTCCGACGTGATCTCGACTTGGACCGCGAGCGGTGACGTCGGGACTTAGGCGATGGACTTCTGAAACAAGTATTTACTTATAACACTACCTCTTGACTTTAAAGAAACAAAATATCCCTACAGACTTGCCACTTCGGGGATGGACTTCTAAAACAAGTATATATTTATAACACTACCTGTTGACTTCGAAGAGACAATGAACTGCCCCTAACTGCCAAGTCAGTAGGGGTCCTACTGACTTGGCAGTTAGGGGCCGTTCAAGTATTACGCAAGTACTAGTACTGGCGGGGGTTCTTTTGCTTTGACAACTAGATAGACTTGGCCCGAAGTGCCAAGTCTATTTTGTCTCTTGACTTCTAAAACGAGTATATATTTATAACACTACCTGTTGACTTCGAAGAGACAATGAAGACCCCTACTGACTTGGCAGCTAGGGGCCGTTAAAGTATTACGTAAGTACTAGTACAGACGGGGGTTCTTTTGCTTTTACAACTAGATAGACTTGGCCCGAAGTGCCAAGTCTATTTTGTCTCTTGACTTCTAAAACAAGTATATATTTATAACACTACATAATGACGGCAGTGGTCTAGCGGTTTAACACGCCGCTTTACTTCCGATGGTCGCGAGTTCGATTCCTCTCACGGTACAAACTTTGTATTCATGATTGTTTGTATCGGTCTGGGTGTTTTTTTTTTTATGTTATGTCTGTATTTACCAAAAAAATCTAAGTATAATTAAAATATTGGTTGTCCAGTACACATAATACAAACTCTGCGTACCGTGGGACTAGATGGCTCTCTAATAATTGTCCAGCGTTAGTTATTTATATATTGGTACTATATGGATGGTGTGTGTTTTCCATAGATTAATATTATTACAAATAAATTACCTAGAATCATTTGCATCTGGTATTTCAATAACTTGTGGGCCAGTTTCTACAAATTCGATGTCAGATTCATTGGCTATATCATCCTTGGCTTCATTCTGTTTCTGTTGGTCTTGTTGTGAATTCTAAAAAAAAAAGCAAAAAATATTGAATTTTTACATTTAATGAATAGTCTAAAGAATAACATTTAAGGCTTCTTGCCTTAACTATTCTATTCTAGCTTTAACAAAATGGTTACTTCTATACAACTATTAGCTGTCCCGGCAAACGTTGTTTTGCCTTAAAATAATAAAAAAAAAATTAGGGGTGGACTACACCTAACATTTAGGGGTATGAAAAATAGATGTTGGCCGATTCTCAGATCTACTCAATACGCTAACAAAATTTCATGAGAATCGGTCAAGCCGTTTCGGAGGAGTATGGGAACGAAAACTGTCACACGAGAGTTATATATATAACTAGCTGTACCCGCGACTTCGTCCGCGTAAATAATGAAAAAATATTTAACTCAATTAACACAATATAAGTCAAATAACCGACCGACGATCTGGTCAAGATCGCTGGAAGGCATTGGATGCGAGCAGCGCAGGACCGATCGTCGTGGAGATCTTTGGGGAGGCCTATGTCCAGCAGTGGACGTCTATATATGACGATGATGATGATGAAGTCAAATAAATAAGTTTCATCGTTTTAGCTTCAAAAATGATAAAAAGTAAAAATAAATCTTTAATCAATAGGCTAAAAAATAAATTTCAAGCTTCTAGCTTTAAACATGACGATACATCTATATAACCTTGGATCTACCCTTTCAATCCTCTTGCAACCCTTTTTCACATTAAAAAGTAACCTATGTCCTTTCTCAGGATCTAGTCTATCTATGTCTGTTTCAAATTTCAATTTAAATCGACAAACAGACAAAGTTACTTTCACATTTATAATATTAGTAAGGTATTTAATAAACTAACCCTAAAAAGACAAAGAAAAAAGTTTAATCATTCTAGCTTCCACAACCACACAAACAGCAAATTTCCACAATAACTTTCATTCTCTATTTTATTTTACTATTGTCCCCCCTCCCCTAAGAGTAAAAATTTTACAACCATTGAATGTCATATTTATTGATATTTAAACAACAGCCTAAAAATGAGTCTCAAACTTCTAGTTTTAAATAATGACGATTCTTCCATACAGCGTACCATTGCAACCCCCTTACAATCCTTTTTTCACATTCAAAAGTACCCTATATTCTTTGTCCGGGTGTAAACTAACTGTGTACCAAATTTCATTTAAATTTTTATTTTGTTTTGGTAAGACTGACAGAAAGACAAACAGAGTTACTTTCACAGTTATAACATTAGTGGGGTATTTAAAAATCTACCCCAAAAGAACCAATGAAAATAGTTTCATCGTTCTAGTTTCAAAAATTAGGAATTTACATAATAACTATCATCCCCTATTTTATTTTACCCCCTTAAGGGTAATTTTTTTACAAACAATGAATATCATATTTATTTATATTTAATCAACAGCCTCAAAAATAAGTTTCAAGCTTCTAGCTTCAAAAATGACGATTTTACATAAAAACTTGCATCCCCTATTTTATTTTACCCCCTTTAAGGGTATTTTTTTTTACAAACAATGAATGTCATATGTATTTATATTTAATCAACAGTCTCAACAATAAGATTCAAGCTTCTAGCTTCAAAAATGACGTGTTTACATTAAAACTTGCATCCCCTATTTTATTTTACCCCCTTAAGGGTAATTTTTTTACAAACAATGAATGTCATATGTATTTATATTTAATCAACAGCCTCAAAAATAAGTTTCAAGCTTCTAGCTTCAAATATGACGATTTTACTTATAAAACTTGTATCCCCTATTTTATTTTACTTTAAGGGTAATTTTTTTACAAACAATGAATGTCATATTTATTTATATTTAATCAACAGTCTCAACAATAAGATTCTAGCTTCTAGCTTCAAAAATGACGTGTTTACATTAAAACTTGCATCCCCTATTTTATTTTACCCCCTTAAGGGTAATTTTTTTACAAACAATGAATGTCATATTTATTTATATTTAATCAACAGCCTCAAAAATAAGTTTCAAGTTTCTAGCTTCAAAAATGACGATTTTACATAAAAACTTGCATCCCCTATTTTATTTTACCCCCTTAAGGGTATTTTTTTTACAAACAATGAATGTCATATGTATTTATATTTAATCAACAGTCTCAACAATAAGATTCTAGCTTCTAGCTTCAAAAATGACGTGTTTACATAAAAACTTATATATTTTATTTTACCCCTGTTAAGGGTATTTTTTTTACAAACAATGAATGTCATATGTATTTATATTTAATCAACAGTCTCAACAATAAGATTCTAGCTTCTAGCTTCAAAAATGACGTGTTTACATAAAAACTTGCAGCTCCTATTTTATTTTACCCCCTTAAGGGTATTTTTTTTACAAACAATGAATGTCATATGTATTTATATTTAATCAACAGTCTCAACAATAAGATTCAAGCTTCTAGCTTCAAAAATGACGTGTTTACATTAAAACTTGCATCCCCTATTTTATTTTACCCCCTTAAGGGTAATTTTTTTACAAACAATGAATGTCATATGTATTTATATTTAATCAACAGCCTCAAAAATAAGTTTCAAGCTTCTAGCTTCAAATATGACGATTTTACATAAAAACTTGTATCCCCTATTTTATTTTACCCCCTTAAGGGTAATTTTTTTACAAACAATGAATGTCATATGTATTTATATTTAATCAACAGTCTCAACAATAAGATTCTAGCTTCTAGCTTCAAAAATGACGTGTTTACATTAAAACTTGCATTATTTTATTTTACCCCCTTAAGGGTAATTTTTTTACAAACAATGAATGTCATATTTATTTATATTTAATCAACAGCCTCAAAAATAAGTTTCAAGTTTCTAGCTTCAAAAATGACGATTTTACATAAAAACTTGCATCCCCTATTTTATTTTACCCCCTTAAGGGTATTTTTTTACAAACAATGAATGTCATATGTATTTATATTTAATCAACAGTCTCAACAATAAGATTCTAGCTTCTAGCTTCAAAAATGACGTGTTTACATAAAAACTTGCAGCTCCTATTTTATTTTACTTAAATTTTTTTTACAAACAATGAATGTCATATGTATTTATATTTAATCAACAGTCTCAACAATAAGATTCTAGTTTCTAGCTTCAAAAATGACGTGTTTACATAAAAACTTGCAGCTCCTATTTTATTTTACCCCCTTAAGGGTATTTTTTTTACAAACAATGAATGTCATATGTATTTATATTTAATCAACAGTCTCAACAATAAATTCTACTTCTAGCTTCAAAAAACGTGTTTACATAAAAACTTGCACCCCTATTTTATTTTCCCGGCTTAAGGGTTTTTTTTACAAACAATGAAAATGTATTTATATTTAATCAACAGTCTCAACAATAAGATTCAAGCTTCTAGCTTCAAAAATGACGTGTTTACATAAAAACTTGCATCCCCTATTTTATTTTACCCCCTTAAGGATAATTTTTTACAAACATTGAATGTCATTTTTATTTATATTTAATCAACAGTCTCAAAAATAAGTTTCAAGCTTCTAGCTTCAAAAATGACGATTCTTCCATACAATCTTTCATCCCCCTTTTAACCCCTTACAACCCTTTTTTCGCATTAAAAAGTAGCCTATGTCCGTTCTCAGGGTCTAGACTATCTGTATACCAAATTTCATTCAAATCGGTTCCTCCTGAACTTTTGGCGTGAAAGCGAGACAGACAGACAGAGTTACTTTCACATTTATAATATTAGTTTTTGCCGCAGCACAAAAATATATTTTTATCGTTTCCGTACAAATAATAATTTTACAGTATTAATCTACAAACCAACATTTTGTTTCTTACAATCAGCTAAATAATTTAAATAGTTCCATAATATATGGCACAAGGAAAAGGTCATTTATTTTATAAAAAAGACAGTTAGTTTTTATTTTAGTGAAAAATAAGAAAATTCTATTTTGATACAACAACCATATTATATTTATTAATACCTATACTTTATTAATTTTGTGCTAATGCTTTTTAAATAAACACCCACACAGTATTTCTGTATAACCTACAAAAATGGGTAAATAATTTAATTTCGGATAGTGCCACACCACAACATTCTTTAAAAAATGTAAAGAAATTGTGATTGTTATTAAGTTTTTTTTTTTAAGTTTGTCAGAACAGGGAAACAACATTTGACATTTATTATTATTTAACATTGGACATTGACTTTAATTTTTGTAATTTATATTGTAAAACTTTAAGTTGGGCTAAACTGGGCTTGTATCCAGAGCCGTAAAACAAATTAATAAAAAAAATCGCCAAATTTGTCTCGCAATCGGCCAATTTCAGGTTTAAAGAAAAAACACATAGGTACATACGATATACGATTTTATCATAAAAAAGTGTCAAAAAACAATATTTTCACTAAACGTCAACGTCATGTTTCCGGCAAGATCTTTCGTTTTACATTATGTTATCTGTGGTTTTGTTCTCTGTGATGGATACCTTATTGGCGCAAATGCACTGGATGTGTTGATTGGTTGTTAGCCAGTGAAATGAAAAGATGGCGAATGGCGCAAACGCACGCGATGTGTTGATTGGTTGTTAGCTAGTGAAATGAAAAGATGACGAATAAGGATTCAACCGCATAAAGATAACCTTGTATTTCCATTTTGAACCCCTTACAACCATTTTTTCACATTAAAAAGTAGCCTATGTCCTTCCTCGGCGTCTAGACTATATAGGTACCAAATTTCATTTAAATCAGTTCAGTAGTTTTGGCGTGAAAGCGAGACAGACAGACAGACAGACAGACAGACAGACAGAGTTACTTTCGCATTTATAATATTAGTAAGGATAACATTAATCTCCCTTTCAACCCTTTACAACCCTTTTTTCGCATTAAAGAGTAGGCTATTTCCTTTCTCAGGTTCTAGACTATTTGCGTCCCAAATTTAATTTAAGTCGGTTCATTAGTTTTGGCGGCAAAGCGCGACAGCCTGAGTTACTTTACATATTAAGGATGATGATGGAGTAATAATACTAAGGACTAGACATCTGAATGTGACCACATGTTGAGAATAATATGTATTAAATATATTATTTTATAATTTTCATAAAACCAAAATCTTTAATTTTTATTATAGAACAGTTCACATTTTAGATTATTTATATACTCACCAAGAATGGTAGATTTGGATTCTGTTGCATCTGCATGTCGGTCATCAACGGCATGAGATTCTGTAAATAAATATGTATTGATAAATAAATATAATTCTGCCGTCCTTAAGGTATTATGAATTATTCTATGATCATATCATACTACACATACATCATATCATACATACATCTTTAAATAGTAAAATATAAAATCGCCGCCGCAGTCTGTTAAGAATAATAATTAATAAAATGAAATAAATACAAAAAATTAAAATTATATCTTATGTTAAGAATAATAATGAATAAAAAGAAATAAAAACAAAAAAATAAAATTATATCTTATCTTAAGCTATATCTTTTAAATTACGCAACGGATTTAAATGCAGTATTCAGCAATAGATAAAGTGATTACAAAAAGCAATACAAAAACATTACATAAATAGATTTACAAAAAAATGTATTTAAGTATTTATTATATTGTTGATGTCTAATAGCCATAACACAAGCCCTGCTTACCGTGGGACTAGATGGCGCTGTGTGAGTTGACATGAGATAGTATCATAATTAAATACAGTTACATAAATAAAAATACATTATTTATCTTGTTAACGGTCTGAATAGAATCATTTTATGGTAAATAAAGGTATTCACTAGACGTTTCAACTAGGTTGTACAAATATGTATGTACAAAAACATAAAATTATGATTATGAGCAAGACATTTAGCTAACAATGATCCATTTTAATGCCAAATAGTGATCTCTTCAAGGCAACATTACAATGTAGAGGATTATAAAATTTGCATCCATTTAATTTCTATGCAATCCTAGAAAGTACTAGTAATAACAATACTTACAGGTATTTGAATTCCGGCCATAAGTTGTAGTTGTCTCATTATATCAGGATTCGTTAAAATGCTGAAAGAAATTTTTTTTTTATAAATATTTGAAATAGGTGTATGTTTTATGAAGGAACATAGGTCATTTATTTTACAAAAGTTAGTCTTTGTTTTGAAATAAAATGAATGTTTACTTATAAAATACTGGTAATTATTTTATAAGTTAACACAGTACACAGAGCAGATCTTACATGATAATTAATAAGTGTTTAGCAATATTTACCATTCAAAGTGTGTAAATTACTTCAATTCAAAACCATAAAATTATTTCAATTAATGTAATATACATTCCTTATTCATTTTAATATTTTATATTTCATTACATTAATAGATATTAGATAAATATATTAAATTCTCATAAATTGCAGTTAGTTTTTAGTACAATATGTAAAAAAAAAACTATATTGAGACAATCCACTATTTATTAATACCTATACTATATTAATTTTATGTTAAATAAACACCTTATTTTTGTGTCAATCAATAAATGAGATAGGTACACAAAAAATAACTAATGTACCTTCCAAGCACATCAGCCGGGTTCTGCGATTGGTGTGACTGATGCTGTTGAAGTTGCTGATGCTGTTGATGCTGCTGGTGCTGTTGGTGAGACTGATGTTGATGTGACTGATGAGTCTGATGAGAATGTATCGACGGCTGCGACGCCGGTGACGAGTCCATCGCCATTGGATCATCCTCACTCTCATACTCAAAGTCGTTTAGAAGTTTCCGGTTGAATTTCACATTGGACTGTCCCGATGATTGGTCCTGGAACTGAATGTTACCATATTTAAGTATACTAATGGTAGCCTATTGATCGAAATTCGACCATAATTAATTTAAATTATAAGTTTGGACATTATTAATAGAATAGAATAGAAAATCATTTATTCAAATAAACTTAATTTAAGCACTTTTGAATAGTCAACATTTTTTTAAATCTACCACTTATTCGGAAAGCTGTCTCATCACAAGAAGAATAAGCAAGAAACTTGTGTGTTGCTCTTTTAAACAATCCTTGTAAGTTCACATTTTACAAGTTGAAACATGTGAATACAAACTACCAACCAGCATTAATTTATTTAGGCTCAAATATAAAAACACAATAAGATTAAATCAGTCGTAGTGATAAGAGCAGACCAGTCCCTACAAGCAGCACTCGTTCACGAGTATGACGGATGAGCCAGCCATCACTTTTAAAGTTTTATTGTCAAAGACTATATGTGTATAATCACAGTTATTAGTCACAGGCACTGGTAGTTGAACAAGCAATAAACAAAATAGTGTATATATAAGAGTGTGTCATGAATGACAAAATGTATTGATTTAAAGTATATCTTATGCATAATATTAAAAAAAATTGCATTCTGCATTCCTTCTCTACAAAAGCTGTAAATATGAATTTCATATATTTGTTTCATTCTCCTCCATCTGCACAATTATCATTAAAAAGGGTACAAAGTGTTTGTTTCACATATTAATAATGATATGAAGGGACACTTTAAACAAAGTCCTATGGTCTTTATTAAATAAATGGTCAAAAATGCCATACAAGAACCCTTTCTTGTGACTACACTTGAAATATTTATTGATAGTCATAAATTGGGTCATATTTTATTGCAATATGCTAAAAAAAGATTGTGGAGACTGAATTAGAGTTATTTATCTAGTATCTTTTAGATGAGTTACTATATCTTTTCAGGAATGAAGATGAGGGGTATACTAATATTTGTTACATGTATATTTAAAAGACGACAAGAAAAGAGCATGGTGCTGCAAGTTTCTAGAAATTATAAAAATCAAAATAAATCTTTTGTCTCCAATTTGAACAAAAATGCAGTTTGTTGGAACAGATAAGCATATATTTACCTGATCTCCCATGGGAGTGGACGCGTGCGGCGTGTGCTGTTGAGGGGCCACCGGGGACATTTTGTTGTCTGATGAATTGTGAGTCAAGTTCATGCTGCTTCCTGAAATGTTAAAACAAAATATTGATATTGTAACTGATATCTCTCCAGACAAAAGATACATATATGTGTAAAAACTAATATCGGGAGACTTTATTAATATAACAGAACTCAAAACAAGAATTGTTAGAATTATTGCCAGTGTATTTTCACACACAATTCAGCAACAGTTTAAACAATTTAGGTTTGGTTTACACTAATGTATTGTGAACAGCTTTATTTAAGAAGAATAAGAGTAACTTTATTTAGGAAAATTGTGGAATATTGCCTGTATTGTGGAAGTCAAAGTAAGCACTTTAAATTTAGAGTATTCGAATTTACTTGCAAAAAAGTTCATTTGCACTAGTATGTTATCCAATACTGGAAAATGTACTAGTGCAAATTCATTAATGCTGAAAACATGTGATATACAAACATGAATACAATCACATTAAAACTATTTGACTAAATAATTTATTATGCTGTAAATTGTTATGTATAAAGTAATAATAAGTATATTAGTGCTGTATTATAATTAAAAAAATAAAATCAAAGCCATAATGAATATCTATATAACTACAAACATATCACAGCATCATTTAGACATCAAAACTAAACTAAATTTGTACAATGGGTACTAGACAACCTCAAAACATAATTATTTTTTTACTTTCTATTCAACAATTTCTAATTATTAATTAAAATATTACCATTAGCAGTGTTGTTCTGTTGCTGTTGTATCTCCTGATGAAGGGGGTGATTAGGGTCAGCCATATCCAGCAGGGGTTGAATGACTTGAGGACTAAACACATTGTTCTTTTGCCACAAGTTAAGAACTCGGATGATGTTACGCTGAAAACAATTATATTATAAAACTTTATGTCAAATATATAATGTATGCTTATTGTAACACATTATATCTGTACTATTTTATTCTCTGAGAAAAATTATGCATTATCTATGAATGGCATAGTGTATATACATATGCAATAGTGTATAAAAAATTAAACTTTTAATATTTTTTTTTACAATTATCAGCAGAGTCAGCAATGATAGATGGGGAAGAAAGGTTATGGAGTGGAGGCCGTGTCCTGCTAGATGGACATTACGAAGGTGGCCAAGAGTGGATGGATGCGGATGGCAGAAGAGCGCACATGGTGGAAGTGTTTGGGAAAGGCAGTGGATAGACAGAGGCTGATGATGGTGATGATGATGATGAAATAATAATCTCAATACAATTCACACAATGCCATCTATACCCAAGTTAAGCTAGCTAAAACTTGTGATTATTGTACTAACTAATAAATATTTTTTTTTTGTAAGTACATACAGATACAAATAATCAAACTCATGAATACACATATTTGTGTCATGCAAGGATCTAACCCACGACCATCGGAATTAAGGTGGTGTGCTAAACTGCTAGACCAGAGACCACTAGAGGCAGAAGTCTAATAATATACTAGAATACTAATGAAGTTTATGTCAAGCCTGTTAGCATATTGTAATGAATTCAACAGTAAATATTTAGTTTCCAGGTGGTGTCATATAGAGGCAGATTTAACAGAGTACATTGCTAAGGATGGGGCACTAGTCCTATTACTAACAATCCCCTCCCACACCTTTTCTTAAATTATCTCATCTTTTATATTTTTTCTTATATCAATTTGTTTACAGGTGATTTGATGTGAAACAGTATTCACTTATTCTTCTGTTACCTATGAAACAAAATTCACTTTCAGATTTTGTTTTTCTAGAATAGTACAAAACTGCATATATTGGCAGTACACTAATTGTTAGTTAGTTTTTTTTTTATCATGCAATCAGATTTGTTGCAAGATTATAAGCAGATTTGTTGATTATATTAAATCGTGATTCTCCATTGAGAATCCAGCTTCAGATATTACAGCTTATGCCAAGTTGTTACGAGTTTAAAAATGGCATACACCATGCTAACGTCACAGTTGCATGCCAGCCGATGACCTGACTCTTGTAATTCGCGGTTGATAAACCTCCATGTTATTTGTAACATAAGAGTAATAGTTAAATATGACTATTCAAAAGTGCTTCTATTAAGATTATTTTATATTTCTATAGCAAGTGATACTTTAAATATAGTATACATATATAAATTTTTGTTTTCTTTCTTATATATATTCTCTTATAAACTTCTATATGGATGACTAAATAGAATTTTTAACCCAATATTTTTTTATATCTTTTATTCTTAGTATGTCTTGTATATCTTTTGTAATCTGGCAACTTTATCTGTTTTATAGTACCATGAATGGAATGCCAGACATCAAGTTTTTTACTTTTTCATTCATTGTGACAAGTAAGATTGAGCGATAGAATAAAAAATTATATATACCTATTATATACAAAACTGCTCATAGTAAGATTCTTTGAATGAAAATTATTTCTATTTAATTTTATTATGTATGTGCCACAGGTTTACAAATCAAATGTACTGAGTAATACATAGTGGATGAAATCAAGTTAAATAAATTACTTAGTAAATATTGCACAAACTATGAAAGTACAACGGAAATATTATTATTAAGATAATTAAGGGCCAACATAACCTATAAGCTTAATTTTACATAACTAACCTTATCTTCAGGAGGGCATCTGAACAGGTTCGCAAATGTTTGTTGCATATTCTTAGCAAACCTTGGAGCAAACACATCTTTATCTTGTCCGAATTGGTGCCGCGACTGTCTTACTATCGAATCTATCACATATAAACCAGGAACTTTGTATTCTGGCTTGCATTTCTGTATGAACTTTTCCACACTATGTACTACATGTTTGTAGAACTTTATAGCCTTTATAGCACCTCTTGTGATAGCACTCATCTTCGCCTTCGATATAGGCGGTCTGTTGTCGTACAACCCGGATAACTAGAAGAAAAAGATTCATTATAGCGATGCCAACGTTTGATTTGGCTATTAGGAAAATAAGAGCACTGTTATCTACCTCCGAGTTGAACGCTTTTACTTCCGACATATCCATTTTTGTTGTAACACTATACACTAATAAATTAATTATTCGTTAACACTAATAAAATTGATAATTTGTGTCATTAAAATCATTTTCGTGAGCGAATCAACACGCACAAAAGTACAAAATGGCGTGCTGTACCATAGAGGACGAAGAAATGAATTGTCAAAAAAATAATATTCCTACAGATGACATTACGTCCGCAGTTACATTTATGCGGGGTGAAATGACAGATGAATATACTTCTCTGTCTATGCCTTCAAAATAGAAAGTAAAAAGTTTTACATAATTCAAACTTCGAACATATTCTATTCTGAAATAATATTTTCATATATTAATAATATTAATTTTCTTTACTTTTAAAGTTCTTTCTTCTTAGATAACAAAGAAATATGCACTGATAAAATAGGCTTGTCATTATAATCAATTATTGGACGTGTTTGGGTGAATTTAATAAAAAGTAGTTCAAACTTTTTGTTAAGCACTCCGTGTGGCACATTTAACGGAATGTTTTAGACAGCAGTTATTATTCTGTGCTCAAAATGATTGAAGGTTTTTATGTCGCTTGGTTTACACAGTCTCGAAACTGTATCACAGAGCACTGAGCAAATTTTTGTGTTTTAAAGATCTGTCTGTGATCTTTCTTAACAACATTCAACAAACCACCACCAAACCAAAGAGTACCTATATTGTTTAGTGTTGTTTACTGAAATAATTTCATTATAATAGATGGTTGTTTAATATACTTAATAATAATAAGATTGTCCTTTAATTATGTCTGATGAATATGCTGCTGTGAAAAGGGGCAAACTTATTCTAAAAGGAGATAAACGCAAGTAAGTGAGGAGGTTATTATTATTTATTTTATAATTGTAAACAAGGTTCGATAAAAATTACTAATATCTTTAATAACAGCAATTAGCCAGTATTGTTATAAGCATAATATCAACGAAACATATCCATTTATGAATTGAGAAAGCTCCGAATTGTTAAAATCAACAGTGACGATTTTCCTTTCCATTGCTAATAATGTTGAATATCTCATTTATTTGTAGCATATATTTGATAATGAAAATTTAATATTGATAGTGTAATCATCGATGTATGCTGGTGGGGCAAAAGTGAAAGATAAATTAAACTACTTAAATGATCATGGTAAATTGATGATCAAAATGGTTTCTAAATTCCTCCTGGAAAATACGTACGTAATAAGTAGTCAATAAGATGAGAATGAGTCAGTTATGAATTTATCTTTATCGCCAGAATATTAGCACTGGTGGCTACATCATTCCATTTTCACCTATTATGAAGTACAGTTAGTATTTTAGTTTATTATTGATTATTATAGGGCAAAGAAACGAAAACACAAGAAAACAGAAAAATCGGAAGACTTAAAAGTTGATAATGACTGCATCAGGCATGGTGGGTGGTGGAAAGTAACCAAAATAGAAGATGTCACAGGCTCTATATCTATTGAATTTGGGAATAACACATACATATCGGCATTGGACAATGGTCTGTTTACAATTGGAGCACCACATGGGGACACAGAGGGCCCGTCACCAGAAGAGATCTTTACGGCATTCCCAGCTGGCGAAAACAAGTTCGCACTGAAATCTGGTTATGGGAAGTATATAGGTGTGTCTAAGGATGGAGTTGTTATAGGCAGATCGGATGCTGTTGGTCCTATGGAGCAATGGGAACCTGTTTGGCAGGATGGTAAATATTGTATTGATAATTCATTAGTTATAATAATAATAATTCCCTCCTCTACAATAGATCTACTGCAAAAAGCCATCATCCATTCACACATGCAGTATTTTAATGAAATTTCTTTCAGTTTTATCATCCTCATATAACATTAAACTCATCCACGCTTGGCTAAGGCCCATGTGTTTGAACATATTACCTCCCTAAAAAGAGAGATATATAAAATAATCATTATAATGGAAGATACTTCACACAGCCTTTAATTAATTTTCTAGTCAATTTGAATACTTTTCTAAACAATTAGTTAACTTTTGGAATATTTGGTAATGACCCTGGACAATTTATAAATCGCCATCTAGTCCCAAGCTAAGTAGAGCTTGTAATAGTAGTAGTAGAGAACTGGTAGATATACTTTAATACTTTTTTTTGTAAAGGCATACATAAATATATGTACATAGAAAATATCTAATGACTAATCCAAATGATACTCATGAATACAAATCTTTCCATGTGTACTGAATAGAACTAGTGACCATTTGAAATAAAGTGGTGTGCTAAAATGCTAGACTATCAAGGTCGTCAATGAATATGATGTTTAGTATTATATGGACATGATCACACCCTCATGGTTGGACAGTATTCAACCACTACCTCAGTAAGGTGTCAACTAAAACATGTATAAGACATTTATGTATAATTTACAGGTAAAACTGCAATCCTAAGTTCACTGAACAAATTTATGTCGGTGAACAATGAGGACTCCGTAGTGGCGCAGAGTGCAGTAGCAGAAGATCTTGAATTCTGCAGTATACGCAGCAATAAGTGCAGAGAGGTGAATAAAGTGGTCATCCCTGAGGAGGAACAGGGTGATCTGGCAGAGGTTGAAGTCAATTATGTGTAAGTTATATATTATTATCTATACACATAAATCAAATTAAAAGGTATTAAAATTACAAGTAAATATTAAAAGGTATATATTAATAATCTATACATCCATACATACATATAAATAAAATAGGAGTGTCTGTTTGTAATATTTAAATAACCGTTTACATGCATATGAATATAAATACACCAAATATAGATATAAAAATAGTTAAAATGTTATTTTAACTATTTTCGCCTGTCTGTTTGTTCCGGCTAATCTGTGAAATGGCTGGACCGATTTTGACGGGACTTTTATTGGCAGGTAGCTGATGTAAATAAGAGTAACTTAGGCTACTTTTAGAAAAATGATGTTGCAAAATTCCACGCGGACGCAGTTGCGCGTACAGCTAGTAACTTACTTATAATATTAGTTAAAAAAAGTAAGCTAACTCCCTATTTGGCAATGTGTCTTCATACATTTCAACTTAAAAATGTAATGTAACAATAATTATTTAAAAGAGCAACACGCAAGTTTCTTGCTTGTTGTTCTTGTGAAGAGATATGTCTGAATGAGCGGTAGATTGAAAAACTAAGTAGGACTATTTAAAATTGCTAAAATTTAAATTTATTTGAATAATAATTGTATTATCATCTATAAAATATAGTATAAACTGATATTATAATTTAAAATTTTAGAAAGAAGTTCCAAAAATTCCAAGACAAGAAACTTCGCGTCAACGACGGCAGCGTAACTGAATTGAAGCGAGCCAAGTTGGACGGGACCCTTCACGAGACTCTCCTCGACAGAAGAAGTAAAATGAAAGCGGATCGTTACTGTAAATAAATCAATAGATTAATATATTTTTTTTTATTTATTTCTGGCTACTAATGGCCTATATTAGAAATACCTCATAGACTAATTCGGCAACTTTTAAAAGTGAAACGAACCGTTAATTATAACGTTAATAACTATCACCCGCGCCATGCTACAGGTATAGAGGTACTTAGTACTTGAAAAAAAACACATTTATAATTTTGAGATTTATTTATTTCTCATGTAATAACATTCGGTACAGTGGCCTAAACGCTTCGAGAGTAATTTCTTGTATACACCGTCATTTACAGAAAAACGAAACGATTTGTTACACAATCATAGAGAATTTGAATATAATCTACCTACATGCCTTATATAAAATCGTATCTACACCTAAACCTAAGTATGTTAGACTAGACACATACCTAGTCTATGGAACTTGATAACAGTGGCATTATCCAGTCTAATCTAAGAACAAGAATTAATAATCCTCATTGAAATAGCAAATAATAGCTGTATATTTGTCACATTCTGACTTTTAACTTACTAATGAGTAGGAAGAGACCGCATATATAAATGTTTGTTACTATTTCTGAGATATAACTAAATTATAGAAATTAGAATAAAAGTTCCATTACGCACAAAATGTAAGGTACCATCTGTCAATTTTCAATCTCTGTCCTTTAGGAACTATACTTTACTTAGCAAAAAAATGAGTACTTTCCTCTATGACAATCGGAGTCGTTACTTTACGATCATTTATGCCAGTGTCATATATCAGAGGCACGTACTGGAGACAAAGTATATCTAACACACCAAGTAATTTTAGTCCTTCTCATGTAGAGACTAGAAAGGACTCAAATTTCATTAGTGATTAGTAGACGAATATAGTTAATATTAATACAAATAATATTATAAGTTAATATATTTTGATAGTAAACAATAACATATGTAAATGAAGACTCGCACTAATAACAACTTCATAAAAGTCGAATTGACATTTATTAAGCGATCTTCTATAACTCACTTGTAGCTCTTTAAGACAGAATGTGACAGATATAAGGTTCAGTTGATAATTTATGGTACGCTCTGTTTTCTATGGTAACCTGCCCTCACATTATTAGGTTTACTCAGACGAATATTTTACGCCACTACCGTTTGATTGGCGGATATGATCGAACGATACGCTCTATTGGAAATTGGCCAATCAGAACACGTTAGCATACCACAATCGTCCGACTGAACCTAACAATATGAGGCCAGGCTTAGTTCTTGTTCTTAGAGTCTAATGTAGCGCGATACAAATAACATACGATTCTTATTGAATCAGTACAAACCAAGTTGTATATTTTAACTTACGTATAGAATTTCCCTGCTGTTGGTTGATAAGGTAATATTCGTATAATTTTTATAATTATACTTTTCCACTCCGCACATCGACTAAAGATTAAATGGATATATTATATAACTTATAGTGCGATCATTATTTCCAAATACAGTTAGAACAGGACAAAAAATTGTGGGAACAACAATTTATTTCCTAATAGTAATAATTTATTATTTGTTCTCAATTTTTAATATTTACAGTTTTATGAAGATTTTATAATCCTCGGAATTTTGATTTCCTTATACTTTTTTTTTTAATATCTAATAGGTCTGTATGCAAAGGACATTAGTGTATTCCCACCAAGATTGTAAATTCAAAATCTATATAATATAGTAGTGTCTCAGTCTGAGAAATACTTTAATTAGGTATTATGGTTACTATTATATTGTGAAAAACATTACACAAGATCGGTGGGCAAATATAATAAATTACTTAATACAAAATTGGTTCAAGAGTATTTTGAAATTTTTTGTCATCATGTGGAAAGTATAATATATATACATAAGTCTAAAATAAATGCTAAAAATATACAATGAAACCTTAATTGCTAAAACTATATTTTGGAAAATTATATATAAAATACTATACTTTACTGTAAAGTATATGCTCCTGCAACACTGAGCTCCTCTCGAAGCCAACACATTAGGATCAATTCAGAAGAGTCATTCTCTATCTCTAAAACTTTTCTAATTTCATATCACAGTGAAGTCATTATATTAAGAATTAGTCTTAACTAAATTTAAAACACATTTCAATCCAATTAAATTGTGGTCCATTAAAGTATATTCACTGAACTATATAAAAATTGTTTTAGAGGCGGTTTTAGAGAATGACAGTTCAAAGTGGATCCTATTGTCATAAATCGCAATGTGCAATTCAAAACTAAACACTCTGTTATTCTAGAAGAAACTAAATAAAAAACAATTGCTACACAGATTATCATCTGTATAACATAATCTATGTGAGACACATAGACAAATGACTTGGAAAATAATGAGTTATATTTCTTCAATTTAGATTCACTTTTAATTTACAAAGATGTAAAAAAGATATCAATCTTCAGTACAACAAATAAACATACAATGCTGATGATTCCATATAACCCTGCTCACAAATTATTAGACTTAGCCGGACGACTCGTAACGACGGCACAAGTTGTCCGTCCGATTCTAATCCTATGCGAGCCGGATAAAACTCGACATAAATGCCGATATTAATTCTATTTTGGATCATTTACAGCAAATGATCATCACAAAAGGGACGTTTTTTTAGAATAATTACACACACACCGCAATATTTAACGTTAAGTTATGCCATAGACAATTCATAGCCAATTAAAAATGTATCCCATATTCTGTAGTTTTAAAGCCCATAAAATTTACAATGGTAAGCGTAACCGCCTTTATAATGGACTATGTTTGTAATAGAATATATCCAGGACCTAGTAATTATTTTAGCACAGAGCTATAGCATTTCTTTGTGACACGCAAGAGACTGGATCGATTTTTATATTCAGTAATCATATATTTGACGCCTTCGGTCATAATAAAATCCTATAATATTTAGCTGCCTCAAAATTAAAATAAAATCTTTACATAGTATAAAACAAAGTCGCCGCCGTTGTCTGTTCGCTTATATCTTTTAATTTACGCAACGGATTTTAATGCAGTTTTCAGCAACAAATAGCACTCTATTTGTTCTATAAACCTTCCTCTTAAATCACTATTCAAGAGGAAGGTTTATATGTATAATATAGCGTATTATAGTATAGGACAAGCCACGAAATTCAAGGGTTTGTAATGCATTCACTAGTATATAATAAACAAATAGAAATATGTACATTTCATAACGTGAATATTGCACATATTGCATTTTTACACGACTATTAAAAATGCTTTCTGTAACAGCAATAACATGACACAGTTTCTTATAATTACTATTTCGATTTCGCGGTTAGGTCAATCACAGGGCGGGGGTAAATAACTTTCGATTTCTATTCATTATATTCACGCCAGATCCTTTATGGGGTAAACAGGATGAATCTAGTACCATCGGAATTTGCTTCTATTCTTACTCACATTTGTCATTTCTTTGTCATTTTTTCTTTCATGATTGATAACAATTTATTAAACATTTTAACAATTTTATCAGATACTTTTAAAAGGTAAGAGTTTATTTTACCTTTTAAAAGTATTAAGTGATTTAATTAACATTGAACTTACCATTATTATAAATTATTTGTTATCTGTTTCGCACAGATAACAAATAATGAATAAGAAAAAGTAATTCATTTACCAACTGTAAAGAATGAAATTTAATTAAATAGTAAATTAATATAACTAATTATTATGGTAAATATAGACATTTAAACGTCAAATGAGGTAAATACCTTTATTTACCATAAAATTATTCGTGTAAAAACTCGATAACAATATAAATAGTTACAAAAGTCATTGTAAATGTTGTTGAAATATATTATATGTTGCACAGTACTAATTACTATTCGTCCTGGATGTATACAATTAGTAAAAACAAGTTAAACACAGGCGACTGATACGAACTATCTAGTAATAATAATATGTATAAATGTATTATTGAAAATGAATGATTTCCCCCAAGAGAAGCAAAATTTTGCTTTGGCATATTGAATTAGCATATTAGTTTATTATATTATTATAGTTATGTATTGAAATTTTGTAATTGGACAATAAATTTCAGATCCAAACCACAAATAATTAACAATAGCTGCCTTACACGTACGCTTTTTTACGCGCGAATCGGCTATCATGACAGGAAAGAATGTGCTTGTAAATGTATAATGTACATGATAAAGAGAACGAGAAATACTCCGCGCCGCCAGCTCTCGCATTTTCGCGTCTTTCAATATTGAGTGCTGTAGCGTCTTTTGGATACGATACTAACGATCATTGCAAAATAGCGGACATTAGACTATGGAGCAAAGACCTATAGTTATTGATAATTTACAAATCTTAAACGTGTCTTTGAAATTTAAGATATGCATATAAAGTATAAGATAAAATATTTTTTATTCCACAGATTTTATTTTCCAAATATATAATTTTTGGTTTACAGGAAAATGTTCGCCATTTTGGAAAAAAAAAAAATATTACCAAGACGTTAAAGCACGTACCATTGAAGAATATGTGAATGCGTTCACTGGCGGCGCGCGACGTCTAGTTCTCTATTTCTACATTTGCATGCACACTATTTCCTGCGTGAAAGCCTATTCGCACCTGAAAGAGCGTCTGTAAAAGGCAGCAATCGGACGTTGAAGTCACTAGCGGTTTATCGCTTCAGGCGATGAGTTATGGGGTAAATACAAGCGTGCTAGCGTTGTCACTTGGTGAGTAGGGTCGGGCTCGAGTGCGGGCGGCTGCCGTCGGGCGCTGGGTTACTGCAGGCTAGTGTCGTCTGTGGGCGAGTGTGCGCGGGGGCGAGTAGGGTCGGGCGCGAGTGCGGGCGAGTGTGCGCGCGGCGCGGCCTCAGCTGGCGGGCGGCATGGCAGCGTCCGCCGCTCGCTCCGCCCGCAGCCACTCCACGAACTCGTCCAGCATCACCGGCCCTGTGCGCAACGTCCGCTATGTAACACGACCAATATCACTGACACTCTATAATACATATATATGACATAATATGACCGATCTGACTAATGTCACAAACTATAAAATTTGTGATTGTAGTGTTTTTGTACTGCCTTTATAATTTCAATAAAAATATCGTCAAAATAAACATTCGCGAAGCTGGCGTTGTGGCAACTAGCGTGAAGTATGACACTCCACTCTAGTTGCCGAGGATGTTGCACCACTGGTCCCTGTTGACGACCCTGTAGCGCCGCTCCCGCTGCAGGAACTCGTACTCACAGGCGCCGTCGGCGTCGTAGGTGGCGAGCTGCGCGTCCACGGTGCGGCTGAACTCGAGGATGTTGCACCACTGGTCCCTGTTGACGACCCTGTAGCGCCGCTCCCGCTGCAGGAACTCGTACTCACAGGCGCCGTCGGCGTCGTAGGTGGCGAGCTGCGCGTCCACGGTGCGGCTGAACTCGAGGATGTTGCACCACTGGTCCCTGTTGACGACCCTGTAGCGCCGCTCCCGCTGCAGGAACTCGTACTCACAGGCGCCGTCGGCGTCGTAGGTGGCGAGCTGCGCGTCCACGGTGCGGCTGAACTCGAGGATGTTGCACCACTGGTCCCTGTTGACGACCCTGTAGCGCCGCTCCCGCTGCAGGAACTCCGCGAGTGCGGTCCGCAGCGGCCAGCGCGGCAGCAGCACGCCCAGCAGCGCGCGCGCCGTGCCAGTCTCCAGCGATCGCTGCTCTTTGTCCTGTGCCATACGTCGGGGAAGCAGATTGTCACTAATGTGGATTTACAACTCCATTAACTGCTTACATAACACGCTCTTTCGCGGGCGATATGTCCCGGCAAAAAGGTAGACTGCGCAGTTCTTTCACCTGAACTGTGTTTCTGCTTTTCGCATTGGGGACATTGTACAAAGCTTCGTATATAGGACTGGAAGCTGGGACTAATATTATTATTTATAATATTAGTGAACACTGGAGCGTGGCCACTTCTGGACAAAAGGTGGTCATTTTGTATGACTCTATTGTCACTTTTATACACAACTCTTTCTATATTTTTTAATACACATCATGTGAGCCTAATCTAATTTTATTTTCTTTTTTACCAGTGAGATGTAAAGATGTATGTATTGAGTAGGTAACTAGTATATAAGCATTGATTCAGTATACATTCAAATGTCATGCCCATCATGTACCATCCACATAGTTTTTGTTTTAGTGCAAAACAACATAATTAGCTTTAATATTACCACATACATTAATGTAAATATACTTTGTAACACCATTGATTTCTAAAAAAATAAAATAAATTTAAATAAACCTTTGATTTTGATTATTATATTCATTTTATTTTCAATATGATTTAATTTTAATTTAATTTAATATTTATTTTTGTGTGTGTAATTTGTGTCTGTACGTGCGAATAAGAAAACTGTAATACGAACAAAAATTTTGTATTTAATTGAATTAGTGCTAATTGGTGGTTTGTATTCACACACTTAAACATAAAAATGTAAAGTAATAATAAAATTATTTAAAAGAGCAACACGCATGTGTCTTCCTCGTTCTTCTTGTGATGAGATTGTGATTCTTCTTGCTTTCCGAATGAGCGGTAGATTAAAAAAAATGTGATGACTATTCAAAAGTGCTTCAATGTAAGTTTATTTGAATAAATGATTTTCTATTATTTATTCTATTCTAATAAATACATTATTGTGTATAAATCACTTACCCTGGCGAAGTCATAGGAATATCTGTACACAGCCTTAAATAAATAGGGGTCATTGAGTAAATTTCGTAAATACTCTAATTTGTTCTGCAATTTATGCACACTATCGCACTGAAGCTCTGTTAAACCTGAAAATTAATGTTTAAATATATCACCATACATACTGATATTACTATAATTTGTTCACGGTCGAAAATTTCTGAGATAGTTAATAAATTTGAATTAAGCCTTTTTTTTATATTACGATGGTGGCAATCAAACGGCCCATCTGATGGTAAATGGTTACCATAGTGTGATATAGTCATGCAAATCAGCATGTTTGATAGTAGATTGTTCCAGTGTACGTTTTATATAACGACATGTATGTCACGCAGTTGATCATATATATATAGTTTATGTAATTAGTGTAAGCTAGAGTAATTCAAGATGTAACAGTTAATATACAAGTTACTCCCTACTGTGTGTTTACTGTCACCACCGCTCCTGTAGCACAATAGCCTATGGACGCCTGAAACACCAGGGTAATCACGTGCGCGTTACCGACCCTTAAGAAACCTTAATATACCCTACCTACACCTCAAAGGTTGATTGAAAGAAATCCCTCTTTTCCGATAAGTTCGCCAATGTACCTTTTTTTTTTAAGACATGTATCTGTTAATATTTTGTACAATAAAGAATTACAAACAAACAAATACCCTTCTAGAAAAACCCCATGCTGTAGTCTCGTGAGAAAACCTCGGCAGGAAGTTTAAGCCTAGTGAAAGTCAGCTGCGATTCTAAGTGTGTTGAGAAATAGCCACTCGCAAACATGTATATCAGTAATGGGGTACTACCCCTATATATTGCAGGAAATGTACCATGTTAGGTATCGATCTGAGTGGCGGATCGAGTGGGGATTGCTGCAATCTTAATATTTATATAATTAAACATTAAAGTTTTAAAAACAATTAAGTTAATGTTAATTACCCTTTAGCCATTCCTCTTGTGTAAAATAACCCATTTGTTTGGCGCCCATCTTGTAAGCTATTACCAGCATTACTACATTCTCTGGGTCCACACCTAAGTCTTCACAAAACTTTTCCATACCTTCAGGACCTGCCGTAGAATTGTTATTCATTAATTATTACAATATCATGCTTACATTTTAAAGTAGTGTAAATAAATAAATAAAATGTAATTTTTATTACAGACAGCAAATTCCTTAAAACTATGACTAATATAGTATATTACATATATAGACTATGGTTTCTTATATACAAAGATATTATGATGTGACAGTTCCATAATCATGCCAGCGCTGTAATATACATAGTTCTTTCTCTCTAATAATTGATAGCTGTCCCTTGCACAAATTTAGTTAGTTATTTATCTAAATAAAGTATTTTTTAACACAATTTATGTGCAAGATTATTATACTGCTCGTGAGCTATCAAATATTTAAACTTAATATGCAGGGACAATATTTATGAATATTTAAATAATTTTTCATAATCGCTAATAAATAATAGAGAAGTGGTACTTACCTAATACATCTGGTTCTAATACTGTGGTATATTCTTTAAACCAAGCTAAACATTTCTTTGCACTGAAACTAGTATCCTCTGATTTGGAATGTCGACGTGAACTGAAAGATAGAAGAATAAATAGATCAATAAGTTGTTTATTTGAATTGTCACAAATCACACACAGTAACACATAAATATGGACAAAAAATAGAGGAATCCTAAGTATCAACACTCTGAATACAAACAATACAGACAAACTTGATCAATGGACCTCAATTGTTAGTGTAGATAGAAAAAGATTGAGTAAGATGTGAAATTTAGGATAATATTATAATGTAGTATGAGCTAGGAATAAATTATAAACTACATATATTACAAACGAATAAATTAATTAATGAAAAACAGCTATGTAGTTAATTTCTATGCGAGGTATACCAGCAAAACAATCTTCTATAAGATCTTGGCCTGTCTAGAACTATATATAAAACAAAATATACTTTCCGAAAGCATTTTAAAGAACATTTGCTACAAGTTCAAAAAAATAATTGATAATAACGATAAAGGATTCACTAAAGGCGCGTGGGTGGCGACATTTACCTTGGCTGAAACTATTTGCTGGTACCAGAGAGCAAGTGTTATGGATATTTTTATTTTAATACTGCGATACCGTTATTAGAATACGTAAAATGCACCGTACGCATCACTGTGGGTACATTTATATATATATATATATATATATATATATATATATATATATTTTTTTTTTTAATTTTATTTCTTTGTAATTGTTTATTTTTTCTTTTATCCATTACGTATATAATGTTTTAGGATAATTATTTGAGATTATTAATATATAATTTTACTTTTTATTATGTATATACTTTTCTCTTGATATTATTATGTTTATTTTAATTGCATAGTATCTGATTTATTAAGTTAATGTATAAGTATTTTTTAATTGTAATATTTGCGCGTCCGTACTGGGGCCCAACTGAAAATCAGCGCTGGAAACTATTTCCAGCATTATGCTGAGTTGTGGCCCACATTGACTCCGTTTTTTAATGTGTAAATTATTCTTGTATTTCTTATGTTATTACTGTAAAAACGAGTTAATAAAAAAATTCTATTCTATTCTATTCTATATATATATATATATATAAAATATTAAAGACCTATATGTTTTCTATGTAACTTTTCAAGCTAAAATATACTGGTAACGCTGAATGTGACTCCCAAAATATATCAGAGGTAATATGTTTTATATGACAACACAAGACTTTTGAACTGTATTCATAACTAGGTACTATGTTAATAATATAATAGGTCTCATCTGGGTCAAGATTTCTCAGCATCTATTTTATTCTGTAATCCAGATCTGTCACATAATAAATTAGTATTTACATTACTGCAGTAAGTTCTAATCTGGAACATGCATCTAAAGCAGCAACACGCAAGTTTCTTTCTCGTTCTTCTTGTGATGAGACAGCATTCCGAACGAGCGGTAGATTAAAAAAAAATGTAATGACTATTCAAAAGTGCTTTTAATGTAAGTTTATTTGAATAAATGATTTTCTATTCTATTCTAATAGCAGCTTCCTACCAGATTTGAGCTAGAATCCCCTTCATAGCTCAAATCTGGTAAGAAGCTAGTGTTGACATACATTGGTAAGGTGACCATATAAATTTTAAATCCATATAAATTTGAGCCTTGAAGATAATTGGTGATGTACATTGGTAAGATACCCCCTAAACCTACATCCGTGTTACAACTCCTGGGAACTACTTGGAGTTTCCCTTTCTGTTATAGGATGGACCCGGCGTCCGCATGTTCAAGATCATCCCAACCTCAGTTATTCTTAGCTCTCACTACATCTGATTCAGCTTGTGTGGGTACTTTGATTATTATAATAAGTACCTACTTAATTAGAATTATATGAGAAATAAAGTAGTCATAGCTCAGCACAGTTGTTTGACTGACGTCTCCTTTATACGAACATACATAACATGGCGCAGCCGGTCAAAAAGTAAATATTATACAGATAGCTCTTAAGCTTTGCATAGTGAAAAGACTTAGTGCGACTTCGTGAATTATATTAAAATGGAGCTTGCCTTTACACCTCCACAGCCTTTGATTTTGAAAATAGTCTGACTAATGTCACTTCCGGAAATTTGAGTCGAGAATGGGAGCGTTGGAAGAAATCTTTTAATATCTACTATGAGGCTATGATCTACTATCTACTATGATAATTCACACTATCAGAGGGGATTGTGGGTACTTTGATTATTATAATATCGGAAGTACTTAATTAGAATGATATGAGAAAGCTGTCATAGCTCAGCACAGTTGTTTGATTGATGTCTCCTTTATACGAACATACATAACTTCTTCCTTTGTACAGTTTTGTCCCAATAATAAACACAAATGTTATGTGGACTTGATTCTTCATAAGCCTCAAATATGAACATGAATAAACACACAACTTTGCGATGCTTTCTTACCTACTATTCCTAGACCTTTTGTGGTGATGATGGTCTTCTAATGCTGTGGCCCCTGGTAGAACATCGCCTCCGTTGACCGGAGCGCCGCTCCTCGTGCGTTTACTGCAGCGAGGCATCGCCCTACCACCCTGGAACCAATATTGAGATCTTTGCGATTTGCTAATAACAGTAATAATAATATCATTGGACAATTGACAATGCACCATCTATTTCAAAGTTAAGCAGAGCCTGTGTTATGGGTAGTATCCATAAGACAATGGGTACAAATACTTAGATACAATTTTTTGGTAAACACATACACATATTATACACTGAAAACACTCAGACCAATACAAACAACCATACTCATGAATACAATTGTTTGTACTTTGTGAGGAAATGATCCAGCGACCATCAGAAATAATGCAGAGTGCTAACCCCCTAGACAGCAGAGGCTGTTAATAATTTATTTACAAATGTTTTATGAACTGATATTGAATAAAATTTTTGCATTGCATATCTTCTTTTACAAAAGCAGCTGTATAGCCCTGCCCATATAGATTACAGCCCTGCCTATTTAGATTATTTCCTGATAATGTGATTAATTGTAAATGAAAGAATTTCTAAAGCAGTATTTTCAGAGAAACAATGAGTAATCCTCTTTATAGTATATATGTATATAATAATAATGCAGCTTTATATATTATATATGATAATAATAATAATAATCTCAGGACAATTCACACAGTGCCATCTAGACCCAAGTTAAGCTAGCTAAAGATTGTGTTATGAGTACTAGATAACTGATACATATACATAGATATTTTTTTTTAATACAAACAATCATACTCATGAATACAAATGTTTGTGCCATGCAAAGAATCAAACCCGCAACCATCGGTTATAAAGTGGTGTGCTAGACCACTAGAACACTGAGGTCATTGATATTATATAGTATTGTAAAGTATAGTATAGTATACAATACTTATACTAGATGATTACCCTTGATAGCATAAAAGCTGCACATCTCTAAGTAAATTTCTACCTATCTATCAATTAGAACTGGACATTATGGTATGCAATACATAGACAATATATTACAAGCTGTGACCGCAGTTACACCCATATTAAATTTAATTATATATATTTAAATATAAAATATAGCCTATGAGTTATTCTGATGTATAAGCTATATTACGGTAAAGTTTCATCATAATCCATTCAGTAGCTATGTGTGAAAGAGTAAGAAACATTGATACTCACAAACTTATAATATTATAGCTGTCCCGGCAAACATTGTTTTGCCATATATATTAATAATGCTATAAAAATATAGGGTTTGATGATAGAAGGGTGAAAATGTAGGATTGTATGTATTTTTGTATGTTGTATCATAAAAAAATAGAAACTAAAAATTTTGTCTAAAAAATAGATGTTGGTCGATTCTCAGACCTACTCAATACACTCACAAAATTTCATGAGAATTGGCCAAGCCGTTTCGGAGGAGTATGGGAACGAAAACTGTGACACGAGAATTTTATATATAAGATTAAGATGAATCTTAAACCATATGAACAATAATTAAGTGTGTCTTGTATTGAAGCTACAGGAGTGCCTTTGTTATCACATTGCAATACAATTTGTTTAAATGCTTAAAAACTAAATTTTCTTTTAAGAGTTGATAATGAAATGGTGCACTCTCCTGCTCTAACGGTATACGCTGGCAGGGCACCAGAGGATGATATGATGAGGTGAGGTTAGCCTATTGTGGTAAATTTACCAGGAATTTAATATGATGGTTTCCAAGAGGAACTGCATGGAGATCAACCTGACATGGTACATTGGTAGCAAAGAGGTCATCAGTTCACATTACTAACAATCCCCCCTACATACATTTACATATGGTATCTACATATAACCTCAAAGTATTTTATTATTATATAAATATTAGTGGACTTAAGATTAAGGTTTCTTAAGGGTTGCCATTCTGCATGTGACACCCCTGATGTTTCAGGCATCCATAGGCTAGGCCATTTTACATCAGATGGACCATAGTTAGTTAATTTAAAAAGAAATCTAAAACCACTCCCACAGAATGGAAAAGTACTAGTAAGCGTCTGTATTTTGTTCAAAACTCCAATTCCAAATTTAAAAACAATTAATTAATGTAGAACAATTTAGCCTTTTATGCAAATCAATTATTTTTTCCTATTGCCCACTTCAGTTTGAGTTAACTTATAAAAACTGGCAAGAAACTCTACTGTTGTTCTTTTTACAGTCCATTTGTTAACATTGATGTTACACATCTGATGTTTCAGACATCTATAGCTTATGGTATCTATTTACTATCAGAAGGCCATATGCTTATTTGCCAACATCATGGTATTAAAAAAAAATTAGTATCTACATCTAGCATTATCACAATAAAGTGTAAATAAATATAAGATTCCCAGCCAATAAGAATAATAAATCATTTAAGAACCAGCCAATAAGAAATCCATTTAGAATAAAGTCATTTAAGTTGGATACCCATCACATTAGGATGGTACAAATGGACAAAACATAATATCTACAAAGCCATAAACTTTTGCTAACCTAAAATATATAAAGAATAAAAAGGAAAAAATAGTTTTGTATTAATTAGATTTTTCAGTCATATATTTAAAAAGCTATATGTAGTGGCTACTCATGATAAATTTATTAAAATATATGGGAAGCATATACAAATGTAGTACTATTACAAGAAAATATCAATAAGTACATAATTATAAATAATGAATGAACCAGTTACAAGAAATTATACAATGCTTATCCTGAGCAATGTCCATTGACAGAGAAGCATAAAAATAATTTATTCATCGAACAATTCCGAAGTTTGAAAATAAAAAAAAGTTTTAAAAAGTAGATAATAAGAATATCAGTAATTGATGGTTAGGTACGAAATGAAGCAGAGAAAATAAAAACAAATGTTAAAGGACAACATACTTACAATCGGTGGCAGATTCGATATGAAATTAGAAAACTTAAAGGGGTTTTCGTCTCCTATTTTGCGAAATTTGCGGGGACAATTCGACAGAAAAATGTCTTCTTGACAGGTCGATATTAACCTGAAATAAAAAAATCAATGTGGGCCAATGTCGAAAAGAATAATAAAAATAAAATAGATTATATGACTACATAATAGTTACTGCTGATGTATACTATATAATTTATGAAAATAACTTTTTAAGAGCAGTGGTATGTTTTGTTGGAAAGCAGACGAGTACAGCAAATATCAGATGATTGTGTAGTTATACTTACCAAACTGACTTTTTATTGTTCTCAGATGTATTCAAGCAATAGATGTTTGTAAATTAATATTATATGTATGTATTTGTTGAATAATAATATCGAAATATAGGTAGATAAAAATTGTTAAAATCAAACACCAGAGCGGCTGAGAAAACTCAAAACGAAGTTGACGTTTCGTATTTTACTTTGTCCGTGGTGCGTCTCTATGCTCTGTGGTATTTCTACATACTAGAAATATTGTGTGTCTGTGGAAGAAAGCAAAATTCTTTCATAGTAAGCAACTAATCACTACTCTTAGTTGTGTCTAAAGTTGCGTTTACATGATCAATAATAAAAAGTTTTTAATATATTGTAAACATTAATAGTGTAAATATTAAAAAAAATGTACCTAATAGATATTATCAATAGTAGGTGTAATGTCTCAATGATTTCTACTTCGTCTTTATCTTTAATCTCATCTAATAATGTGGTTTTGGGAAAGTTTATCCTAAACGAGGGTGATTAGATATTATTTATCTGTATGAATTACTATTTAAATGCATTTAATTTCAAATCTTATAGCTAAAAAAAAAACACAAATCCATTTTTCCGCATTGTTATAATTCTACTAACGGCAGTAAAATAAATAAACAATGGACCGTATACAATAACAATATATTACCAATTACGGTAGTCGCATCCAGCGGGCATAAAAATGTAATGATTTTAACTTACATTTAATTGATTAATAAAACACTGCATTTAAAGATTTACTGTGTCTCAGAAGTACAAACCACAGTTGCTACAAGAATACAATTAGCATTTTACAGATTATATATGACACTAGCTTTTGCTCGCGGTTTCGCCCGCGATAATTTATTCCTTTAGGGGTGGAATTTATCAATATCCTTTCTTAGGGGATGCCTACGTTATAGTAGCTTTATGCATGCAAAGTCTTCATCCCATATTTTATCCCCTTGGAGGTAGAATTAATCAAAATCCTTTCTTAGCGGTTGCCTACGTCATAACGTCTACCTGCATGCCAAATTTCAGCTCGATCCGTCCAGTGGTTTGGGTTGTGCGTTGATAGATCACTATGTCAGTCAGTCACCTTTGAGTTATATATATTTTGATTAACAAAAGTAAAGTGTAAAGGTAAAGTAAGTAAAGGGGACAGTAAAGTCCTCGAGTGGCGACCACGGACTGGAAGACGCAGCGTGGAAAAGCCTCCAGCAAGGTGGACCGACGATCTGGTCAAGATCGCTGAAAGGCATTGCATGCGAGCAGCGCAGGACCGATCGTCGTGGAGATCTTTGGGGAAGGCCTATGTCCAGCAGTGGACGTCTTCCGGGCTGAGATGAAATGAAAAATGAAATTTAGATTAACAATCATCATCTGCTAAAATCTGCTTCTTCCTTATCCTATGTATGAAATTAACAATGTTCCAATTAAAACTGTCCAATTGTGTCATGACGGCCTCGTTCCTTCCTCGGCGCGTGTAATTTCCGCTTTCAGTATTTTTCTATTGTTCTGCATGTTATATGCAGAACAATAGAAACACACAACATAAATAAATATAATATTAATATAACAATGTGAATGACAAGTATCAAGAAATGTGAAATAAGTAATGAGAAATATACCGAATATACAAACCACAGACCAGAACAAATAGATACAAATAACGCTAAAACTCATGAATACATTGTGAACGGATCAAGCCCGCGAGCAATATTAATAGATTGCGAAAAAACTTGGGTGCTAGATATTATTGGGTAGATATAAAATGAAGTTTTCTCTAGCGGTTAATCTATGATGCATTTCGAATTTTATATCTAGTTATACATACTTCTATTGTAAAGAGAAAATATTGGATTTTGCTTTCAATACTATTCCAATAATAATACATCTATAGAATACACACAGCGCCATCTAGTTCTAAGCTAAGCAGAGCTTGGGTTATGGGTACTAAACAACATATATAAATACTTAGATTTTTTTTAAATACATGCATATTATACATAGAAAACACCCAGACCTAATACAAATAATCATATAAATGAATACAAATATTTATACCATGCGAGGAATCGAACCAATGACCATCAGAAGGTGGAGTGATAAACCTATAGAATGTTGAGACCGTCAATTATATAAAAAGCTCATCTACATAGACTAATAACACGGTTAATCTTAGTAATATTATAAACGGGAAAGTTTATATGGATGGATATACAGATGGATGGTTGTTACTCTTTCACGCAAAAACGTATATATTTGTACATATATATTTGTATTGCCCAGTTTTAAAACTCGTAAATAAAGAAAATAAGTTGTAATAAAGAAGTGTTTATTGTCATAATAGATGGTATACTTCAATATACATATATATTTATATTTAGCCCAATTTTCAAACTCGTAAATAAACAAAATAAGTTATAATAAAGAAGTGCTTATTGTCATAATAAAATAATGGTATACTTCTATATACATACATATTTCTATTGCTCAGTTTTAAACTTGTAAATAAATAAAATAAGTCATAATAAAGAAGTGCTTAGTGCCCTAATAAATGGTTTACTTTAATATACATATATATTTGTATTGCCCAATTTTCATCTCGTAAATAAATAAAATAAAAATAATAAACAAGTGCTTATTACCCTAATTAACGGTATACTAATGTCATAAATGCAGAATTCTAAAGAAGTGATTGCATCACTCGTACCTACATTAAAGTGGGAAACAAAACAACTAATCTAGTTGAGGGCGCATTTAGGGGGTGTCGCCCCTTCGGTCTGTTCGGAGCGCCCTTCCTCGTCTGCCTAGACACAAACGGTAGTGTTATCGATCGTTCTACATACATATTTGCTAAAGACTTTAATTCGACGGCGGGATGTGTTGTTCTATTGTACAGTAATGATAGAGCGAAAATATTAATCTGTAGCCTATGTTGCCAGGATGTCTGTAAGGGATTACTTTGAGCGTTAAGGCTGCCTTTTGTTAGCATATTTATATATATAAAAATATATATATAATAAAGAACCCTCTAAGTAATTACAATTGTAAGAACTATAGAAAAATAAGCAAACAAATTAAAAGATTAAGAAAATCTTTCAAAATTAATCACATTGCCTTATCAAAATTAGTAAAAGAAAAATAATTAGAATATTATGAAAATCAGTTCTGGATAATAAAGAGTATTATTATTACTTATATATATATATATATATATATATATATATATATATATATATATATATATATATATATATATATATATATATATATATTACATATCCCTTTTTCGGGACGGTATAACATGTGGGCTTTAGCCAAGCGTGTATGAGTTTATAAGTTATATTATTATTATAGTGTAATAAGTTGTTATTTTATATTAATAAATACTTTTTAATACATTTTCATAAAATACGATTCTACGTAAGTTTTGGTATACGTTTATGTTTTAAAAGTCAATATGATAACAATAAATAATAATAAAATAATCCTACATAATTAACACAGCGCCATCTAGTCCCACGGTAAGCAGAGCTTGTGTTGTGGGTACTAGACAACTAAAATAAATACTAAGACTTTTATTGTAAATACATACATAATATACATAGAAAATACCCAGACCGATACAAACAATCATACTCACGAATACAAATGTTAGCACGGTGCGAGGAATCAAACCCGCGACCAAGGAAAGTAAAGTAGTGTGCTAAACCGCTAGACCTCCAAAGCCGTCAAATCAATAATATGAATATTAAAAATATTATTGTTTAACAATGATAAAACTAGTAATTCAGCACATCAGGGTAGTATAGGTTTATAAGTATTTTTTATTGTTAATGCTTAAAATAAAATAGTTATCGTAAACTGACTATGGTAGCCACATAAAAGACGCTATCCTATATTAAGTGTATAGTAAGAAAATTTATAATTTTGACATCAAATTAGTACATTCATGTTAGAATACAAATACTGTATATTTGACCTACATATGCCGTATCTATGCATAGTCTTAATAATATAAACACGAAAGTTTGTAAGTATAGATGTTTGTTACTCTTTCACGCAAAAACTACTGAACGGATTTTGATAACTTTACAGTAATATAGCTTATACATCAGAATAACATATAGGCTATATTTTATATTAGCTGTTCCCGCGACTTTGTCCGCGTGGAATTTAACTTTATTTTTCTAAATTAAAATATTTTTTCTAATCTAAAATAATAGTAGTCTAAGTTACTCCTTATTACATCAGCTACCTGCTAATAAAAGTCCGGTAAAAATCGGTCCAGCCATTTCAGAGATTTAGCCGGAACAAACAGATAGACAGACAAAAATGGTAAAAAAAAATATTTTGGTGTATGTACCGTATTTATATTCATATTCATGTAGTAAAAAACGGTTATTTCAATATTACAAACAGACACTCCAAATTTATTTATATCGCGGGCAGCTAGTAAGGAATAAATTATGATTACAAGCATTTTCTTTTGTTAAATAATTGTGTGTTCAACGCAATACATTAGTGAAAACCGTACTCAAATCGCTTAAGCCGCTTTTGAGTTCATTAACCGTCATAAACACATGGACAAGCAGACAAAAAATCTAACAATTAAGTATTGTTTTAGGTTTTGAGTGGTTAAATTTACACAATAATAGTTTTTCTTATATATTGTCTTCCTTTTTTTTTAATTATTCTTTATTCATGGCCATGGATACAAGTCCTTCAGCCGAACATATTTTTGTATAGATAACATAAAAACGTAAATAAACTAATAACAAACTATTATATAAGCTTACACATCTATACATATAAATAAAATTGGAGTGTCTGTTTGTAATATTGAAATAACCGTTTTTTACTACTTGTATATCGATATAAATACAGTACATACACCAAGATAACATTTTTTACAATTTTTCTCTGTCTGTCTGTCTGTCTGTTTGTTCCGGCTAATCTCTGAAATGGCTGGACCGAATTTGACGGGACTTTTATTGGCAGGAAGCTGATGTAATAAGGAGTAACTTAGGCTACTCTTATTTTAGAAATATTAAGTCAAATTCCACGCGAACGTCGCGGGTAGTAGCTGTACCTTCCATTCCATTCCGTCTATAATATCTTCCATTACAGTGAGCGTGATCAGTTACCTTTTTTCTACCTACATACCTAGATTATTTTAGGCCTATTGTGCTATATAACTTCAATTTATTCGGACGGCCTCGGTGGTCTAGCGTATTAGCACATCTCTTTACTTCCGATGGTAGCGGGTTCCTCGCACGATAAAAACATTTGTATACAGGTGTATGATTGTTTATATCGGTCTGGATGATGAATATCATACTCGTGAACGGGTGCTGCTTGTAGGGACTGGCCTGCTCTAATCACTATGACTGATTTCCTCTTATTAATTGTTTAACCAGTTGGTTATATATACAATATTTTTTCTATTTGAGTATTTAATACAATTAGTGCTAATTGGTGGTTTGTATTCACACACTTAAACTTAAAAATGTAAAGTAATAATAAAATTATTTAAAAGAGCAACACGCAAGTTTCTTGCTCGTTCTTCTTGTGATGAGACAGCTTTCCGAACGAGCGGTAGATTAAAAAATGTAATGACTATTCAAAAGTGCTTCAATGTAAGTTTATTTGAATAAATGATTTTCTATTCTATTCTAATACAATAAATATTTTTTAATTTATTATTTGAACTTAGATTTAATGCTAGATTTACTGATATTAAATAATAATAATAACTCTGTACATATAACATAACGCTATCCAATTCCAAGCTAAGCAGAGCTTGTGTTATTTGCACTACACAACTGATAGAAATAGTTAAATACATTAAAATAGATACATAATATTAATGACTGATGTTTCTTAAGGACTGTATTTTTCTATTTTATTTTTGAATTTATATTTCTTGTAATCCTTTAATAGAATCATATTATCCAGAGTAGAAATTTGAGATATTCAGAATAGACTGTAATCAAGGTGTAATTAAGGATCAGTACCTACTTTAGACCAAATAATTGAACATTATTAGACACAAGAGAACAAACATTACATTACAAACAAGGCTTCAGATAACGGATTATGTTACATATGTCAATTTGATTAACGCTTAATTCTCATTAACAAACATGTCTCTAGTATAATATTGGTTTTTGGTGATTTCACTTGCTTTGTGTTTAAGGTCATGATTCGTGCCTTTATTTTTTTTTAAAAGAATACGAGCTGAGTTTCATATCAGTTTTTCATCTCGAAATCATTCCGAACTGACGGTAGATTTGACATATCATAAGAATCTGTAATAGACCTACATGAATAAAGAAATTTTGTTTTTTTTTTTTATTAAGGATTTGGGCTTACTGTATATGCTGGCGGGCAACTATTAAAAAAGGATAGGATGAGCATGAAATCAGGTCAGCTAACCTGGCGAATTCATTAGGAATAAATAGCGATGGTTACCAGAAAAACCGCGTGGAGGACGATCTGACCTGGTACATGGGTAACAATTGCTTTTAAACAGATAGAATAATCTTTATTCAGATAAACTTAATCTTAATACTTTTGAATAGTCATATTTTTTGACCCTACCGCTCATTCGTAACGCAGACTTATTACAAGAAGAATGATAAAGAAACTTATGTGTTGCTCTTCTAAACAAATGTGGTTCAGCATTACATTTCTTATATTATGTGTGAATAAAAACTGGAATTAAAATGTAAATCACTTATTTGCGTTATGGTACAATAGATTTACCAAACTTCTCTGTGCTTGCACCTATCTCAAGAGCGTAGACGTCTACTTGTTTAATCGTTCGACTTACGCCTAAAAGCCATAAGCCAAATGCGACTGACATCAAAAGACGTCCAACAAAACTCCACTATGGAGAGAGGTCCATATCCATGCTGTCCTTAGGCGCCATAGGTCGAGAAGGATGAGAATTTTTTAAGGATGATAATGGAATGGTGCGCTTTCTTGAGTTAACGGTTTAAGCTGGCGGGGTACCAGTGGAGAATGATAAGATGAACATAAGGGCAGATCAGTTAGTCCATCGTGACAAATTCACTAGGAATTTATCACGATGGCTTCCAGGGGTAACCCGTGTGACCTACACGATATGGCCTGACAAATCTGACATGGTACATTGCTAGGAATAGGGGCAAAAGTCCACATTACTAACAACCTCCTTCCCCCCGCAGGATATGATTTAGACATGACAGCAAATCCGATTTACAATCCTTGGCTAATAACGTCCCGAGACGATGACGTCATTTGATGATGATGTGATGTCTTAAACAAGCCTACATTGTGCTACAAAAGGAGGAAACGTCCAAAATACAAATAAATATGTCTAACATATATTTCCTACTAGTTGCTCGCGAAATCATTATCATATTTTTAAATTATGGCCCATTCAACAAATGATTCTGATGTATAAGCTATATTTCTGTAAAGTTTCAACAAAATCTATTCAGAAGTTTTTGCGTGAAAGAGTAACAAAAATCGATCTATCAAAACTCACAAACGTTTGCGTTTATAATATCAGTGAGACTTTGTAGATAGTTAAAAATATTTTATAAATTGCATTGACATCAATTAAAGAGAAATCTAAGGGCGCATGTCATGCCAGTCGAAAGAAAAGCCAGGAAGCGGTGCGTATATACGTCTCATTCAGTCGAGCTGCTTTACACCCCCGCTTACCCTATTCCACCCCAACGCTGCGTCCCTCTGACTGGAATCAGTTCGTTTAATATCCGCTTAGGGGACGCTCGTGTCGACCGGTCTCCCAAGCAAAACCACGCGATCTTTACAAACTAGTGCAATATTCAAAACAACTCGAATTGCTCACACCGTGTTCCACTTGTTACATTTGAACTTTTGTTTCGTTAGTGATTTGTTTTATTCGTGTTATCATTACATTGCTTTATTCAAATGTTTTACGTTTCTAGTGTTTGTGCAGACTTTTCGTGAACACTGGATCACATTTAGCTAACTTACGTAAGTCTTAGATTTACTGCATTGCGTAATTATTAGTATAATAAAATATAATGTTTATTTGTTCATCTAATATAGCATTTAATGTCTACTTATTGTTTGAGAATATTTTTAATGTAGTATCCAATTGTTTGTATTGTTGTAGTATATTATTTGTTTTGTTGTAGGCAAGTGTAATAGAAATCATTAAAAAATTCAAACTGTAACTTAAGCTAGTTAAGTTATTTAATAGTTAATTGTTAAGCTTACCTTTTTAACTGGGTTATAAAGCTGAAATATAAAGCATAGTTTCAAATTAGTAATAAATGCCTAATTGACGTGTACAAGTGACCAAACATGTTCCATATAAATTAATATTTTTGATTTGTAATTGTTCTAATTAATTGGTCTCGACGTTACCGTGACCAGGTCAGGGTCAATTTTATTACAATGATGGTGGATTCGTTTAGTGTTTTTTTAGTTATTTTATTATTTAGGTACCTATTTCTATATAAGAATAATTAATCGATTGATTAATAAATGATAAGTATTCACTGAAATGTAATTTATTGGGTATTCCTCAGGGATCTATTCTAGGTCCTTTTTTATTTTTAGTTTAAATTAATGATCCTTCTTACATGGTAGCAATAGCTGACATAGTTCTGTTTGCCGATGATACTTAGACCCATTAATGACATGAACGAAGCAAACGGTGTTCTCTTCTGTTCAAAATTATTTCGAGTTTCATTTGTAATAAAACTCAAAAATCGTATTAGACAACAAACCAATTGATTTTGTTGATGATATTAAGTTTCTGATTATCACAGACTCCAAGTTGCATAGGGGTGTCTATATTTCTAAATTGGCGAGTAGACTTAACAGTGCTGCGTATGCCATAAGAAAAAAAATATCTGGAACTAAATTTCAGTCTCTTGCCTTATGTTTTAATACAATTTCTATTCTGAAGGTGTAAAACGTAGCTAGGTAGTCACTTAGGTACCTACTTAATTAATTTGACTCTCAACATTGCAAGGCTTCACAGCCCGATCTAACTGAAGTGTTTACTCATAGCACCTTATACCTACCTACGTACATATGGTCTCCTAATTGCTAAGGAAATTGGAACCTTGTTCTATATGGTATATGTAGGTATTGTACAAATATTAAGTTGCAGTTCCCGTTGCGGTCAATACTGAGGGGGTCAGCCGCCTCGAGTGAAACCAGAGTTGTGTGGTTTATATTAGCAACTAGCTGTACTGGCGACTTCGTCCGCGTAGAATTTAACTTTATTTTTCTAAAATAAAAGTAGACTAAGTTACTCCTTATTACATCAGTTACCTGCCAAAAAAGGTCCCGTCAAAATCGGACCAGCCATTTCAGAGATTAACCAGAACAAACAGAGAGACTAAAATTGTAAAAAACGTTATTTTGGTGTATGTACCGTATTTATATTCATATGCATGTAGTAAAAAACGGTATTTCAATATTACAAACAAAGATTCCAACTTTATTTATATGTATAGATGAGTAGTAACATGAGATTAAAAAAAATAATCAAAACATGATGATATAACAATATATACACAAGAATAGTGGTTGGTAGTGTAATAAGAAAATAAAAAAAAAAACTGAAAACGGCATAGAGTTACAGGTTATTTTTTTATCAGAATTTTTAATGTGAGTATTTAGAGAAATATAAATTGAAACTCATATTCTTTATATATAAAACTCGTATTTATTTAGGACATTGTAGATATTTTATCTATGTTGTATTTTATATTATTTTTAAATGCTTGGTAGCATTTAGTTCAGGCAACAATTTGACAAGAATTACAAGAAACTCAACTTTGTTAGTATCATCTGTGGTAATTATCTAAATTATCTGTGGTATTATATACTTACTAGGGGGTATGTATTGTATATGTTTTACTTTATATCGTTAAACTCTAGAATACTCTAGATGGTGTGGTATATTGTAAATAAATATAATAATATTATATAAATAGGTTCGTTGAAATAAATATGATTGTGATTTATTCCAATATATAGAATACTGTAAAAATAGTGTTTTATTACAATTGAATATATAAAAGAGGGTGTGTTTTGTACTAAAAGCGTCAACCAAATAATCTTGAATAAAATAAATTTAGTTTTAAGCACTTTTGAACGGCCATTTTTAGGGGTTCGCACGAGAAAATCCCTAAAAGTGCGACTTTGAAAGAAAGAACCGCTGTAGTATAATGGTCTGGTCTTTTTTCATAACCTTTCAGTTCATACATTACTCTGTGCTTATTAATTTAATGAAACGTCTATTAAATATATAAATAAAAAAGAGGCTGTCTGGGTGGTCTGGCGGTTTAGCACACCGCTTGACTTTCGATGGTCATGGGTTCGATTTTTCGCACGGTACCACGGTACGGTAATTTATATTCCTCATGAATACATACATATATATACAGAGTGTTTGTTTGAATCGGTCTGGGTGTTCTCTATGTATATTATGTATGTATTTACAAAAACTATCTATGTATTTGTATAAGTTGTCTAGTACCCATAACATAAGCTCTGCTAAGCTTGGAACTAGATGGCGCTGTGTGAATTGTAGACGGATATAATACATACACTCATACATACACACACACACACACACAAACACCCGTATAAACCAACAAAAGCTGAGTTAATGAGACAACAATGAGAATAATAATAATAATAATAATAGGATATAATAATAAAGTTAAAGCTATGTACATGCTATCTAAGGATTTCGATACTTTATTACTTTAAGTTCGTACAAGGTTTCGATTAGGTATTTTATAGCGGTACCTTTTGAGAATTGGGACGTTGTATTTCCTTTGTCTTTCGTGAAATAGGCTGTAAGATTAATGTACAGTTTTAATATAGTTAGTTTAGTTTTAGTTTATCATATTTTTTTTTATAACGCAGTAGACAAACGAGCATGCGGCTCACCTGATGGTAAGTGATCATATTCAATTGTTTTGTAACAAAATGATCAAGTATGAATATTAAACCGTCTTGGCCATCTATTTACTTTTTATTCACATAATGATTCGAAATTTTTAACTGTATACCCTTAAAAATATTTGTTTTGTTTTATATATTTTATACAATGTCTTTTTGTGAAAATAAATATTATTATTATTATAATATAATCAGCATATAGTTATTTATATTAAAAAAAAACTACTCTTAATTATTTTAATTTTTAATAATTATTTCATCACAAATGTGAAATAAAATAATGAATAATAAAATATAGTACAATAAAATAAATGATTCGAAATTAGAAAATTAATAATTACAAAAGCTTGATACCATAACCTGGCGTATTAAAAATTCATTTTTATTTTGTAAATAACTGAATATTAAATACTAGTGAATAAGAAAATGATATTATTTTTTGCATCCGTTCATCACAACTGAGGAATGAAGAGTATAAGATGGTTTAAATCATTAAGCTGTTTATATATATATTAGGTATTTGTTTGTTTTTATATATTTATATATATACTTAATTAAATTGTTAATTAATCATCAAGATAAAAATATCTTTATTCATTTAGGTCTATTACAGACTCTTATGGCAAATATGCCGTCAGTTTGTAGTGCTTTCGAGCTGAGAACTGTTTAAGAAAATGTGCTCTTATTTTTTTCTTAAATGAGTTTATACATAAAAATAAAAATACTTATTTATTTTTAAAATTAAATTTAGGAGAATAGAGTGACCACCAGCATGCTATTAGCGGCCCTAACCCAAACAGACCAGTCCATATAAGCATTATTGTTAAATTAATACAATATAAACTTACAGTTAATGAATGAATTCATTCTATAGGAATAGATCAAATCAATCAAAATACTTATAATGAACTATACATAATTGTGCCTGACTGTGATAAGACTTTTTAATAAAAAATGTCATACCATGTATGGGCAGCCTAAATAAGTGAAACGTAATATTATAATGTGCAAAATACGTGGGCTGTGTTTTGTATAATCAAGCTTTCGTGCCTCCCACCAGGTTTGGCGTCGAGTTCGCTTCACGCAAAGCGACCCTAACAAAGCCTTGTTTACTAGACTGTGACTTGGACGCACATATATATAATTTTCCTGTCTACACATTCATTGATATAGACTGATGTATAGCATATGAATAAGAATAGCAAACAATAATATATAGATACATATAGTAACATAAGACGTTATACATATAACAAAATGAAAGAAACAAAAATGTATAGGGTTACAGGCATTCTACGCGCTCTTTATCGTTTTAAATTTTTTCTTCCGTCTTCTACTAAATTACTTCTCGTTCAATCTCTAATACTTCCGCATATTGACTATGCCGACGTGTGTCTTACCAATCTTACCCAAGAACAGTTGAATAAGTTAGATCGTTTACTTAATAACTGTATCCGGTTCATCTTTGGACTACGTAAATATGACCACGTATCTAAATTTCGATCCCAATTAAAATGGTTAAATATTCGTAACCGCAGAAACTTGCGCATCCTATGTTCTCTCTTTACTATCATCTATGACACATCCTCTCCCTTATATTTGAAAGACAAAATCCAGTTCATTAGTGACTCCCATTCTCTTCTTCTCTCAACTCCTTCACACCATTCCGGATTTATGTCTAATTCATTCACTGTCACTGCTATTAGTCTTTGGAATAGATTGCCCTGCGCAAAGCACAGAGTAAGCCTGTTTTCAAACGGAAAATTTTTGATTATCTCTTGAATGAACAAACCGGTTTTTAATTATCTATTGTTGTCAAAATATATATGTAAATTTCTCTTTTTTTTTAATTTTATTGGTGTATCATTATTATGTATTATAGTAGGTATATATTTATATTTATGTATGTATATTTGTAATTATTTTTAAGAAAACCTATTTACCTATATTAGGTAAAATTATAGGTTAGTCCTTTCCCACCACTGCCCATCAACCGCTTTCTGTTCTTACCTAATGGTTAGCTGGTAGAGAATGCCATATGG